GAACGGCCACAGAAAATGGGGGGCATCGGCATGGATCATGGAGGTACGGGCGACCTCCATGACCAAGCCGATGCGGCGCTCAGCAACCCCATTTTGCTGTGGCGAGTCCGGCAACGTGTACGACTGGGTGATGCCCTCCGCACGACAGAACTGTCCAAGCCGACCAGAGGCGAACTCGCCGCCACGGTCGGAGTGGAGACACAACACGGGGAGACCGCGGTGGAGACGCGCAGCCACAACCCACGGGAGAAGAACGTCGGGCACGTCGGCCTTCCGCTCCAGGGGAAACACCGTGGTGTAGCGCGTGTAGTCGTCGACGAGCACAAGGAAGTAGCGCTCACCGCGCGGTCCGGGGACGGGGGCAGGGCCCCAAACGTCCAGGTGCAGGGTCTGAAGGGGGCCGGTAGCATGACGCAGCGAGGAGGAGTGAGGAGCACGGCGGAGCCGACCCTCGACGCAAGGCGTGCACGGTGGCGCAGTCGAGGAAGGAAGGGCAGGGAGCGACGCGGGGAGACCTAAGACAAGACCGTGCTGAGACATGTGACGCAAACGTGGGAGAGCAGGGTGACCTAAGCGGTGGTGCCAGAGAAGGGAGGGGTGAGTGAGGGACCGACACGCGCAAGCTGCAGCGACCTGGGAGGACGCACCAACCGGGGGGGAAGCGGTGTCTAGGGTAAACAGACCGGACACCGGGTCCCGGGGGAACGTCGCAAGGGGGGAATCTGAGACAGCCTCAGAACAGACAGCGAACCGCTCGTGCCCGGGGAACGTGGTGGTGACGCCGAGGTCCTAGAGACAGCCGACACCAACCAGGTTCCTGGAGAACGAGGGAACGTGGAGGCCAGTAAGGGAGCCCGAGGGAACTGCCGGACAGGGAAGGGACGTAGAACTGCGCGCGACGACAGGACCCGCAGAGGGGTCAGCGAGAGAGACAACAGCAGGTGCAGCAAGCGGCGTGAGCGTGGAACGGTCGCGGAAGAAGCAGGCAGAAGCACCGGAGTCGAGAGTGAAGGACAGCGCCGCAGTGGCGGAGGCCGGGGACGGAGCCGGTAGAGCGACTAGACTAGGCAACCTAGGCAGTCCTACGCCTGACGCAGCAGGGGAGGCTAAGCTACACAGTGGTGCAACACCTAAACTAGAGTACACAGGGTAATAAGATCCAGCAAAACTAGAAGCGTCAGAATACAAAGCATGCAAAGCAGCACCTAGCTGATCCATGTCTAACTCAAAGATCGGCATGCCCTGGCGGAGCAGGCTGTGCCAGTCGGGGAGGTCCGGGGCCGGGCCAAAGTGACGATGAAAGAGATCGTCGAGGCGGCGGAAACAGCGGGCGGTCGGGTGCGAGCGGCGGCACAGAGTGCCGCGAAGAGGCCCGGTCTGAAGCTGGTACTGGCAGGTGACAGCACCGGAGCCGCCGGTAGACGCCAAGCTGCGCGGGCCGCCACCACGGCCACTACCTCCGGAGGTGCCGGGCCAACCAGGCGGGAGACGGGCCCACTGCTGCGGCGACTGCTGCTGGGACGGTGACTGCTGCTGGGGCGGCGGCTGCGGCTGGGGCTGCTCCTGCTGCGGCTGGGGCTGCTGCTCCTGCCCACCAGTGGTAGTCCCCGCAGGCGGACTACCGTCACCACCACTACTGCCACCACCACCCCTACCACCCTGGCGACCACGGCCACCGCGGCGCGAGCGCTTCTGCGGGTGGACCGCACCAGCCGTCTCGGTGAGAGGGGCCGCCGAGGCGACCGCAGCCGAAACGTCAGTGAACGCACACTGGGAGGGGGCACAACCGTGAAAGATAGAAACTGCCGGCGCACCGCTCGACTGAGCGATAGTGCGCTGGCGAGTTTCGATCTCGGTGAGGGTGTCGACAAAGGCAGTGAGAGTGAGGTCACCCGGGTGCTGGCTAAGAAAGTGATCGCGAGCACTAGCGAGGCGGTCTGGCAGGCGCATGGCGATAAAATAGAGTGTCATGCAGAAAGGGGGGGGGGGGCGCAGTGAGCTGGGCGGCAGTGCTGGCAGTGCGATAGCGGGTCTCTAGGGCACGCAGGTGTGTGGCAAAGTCTGCGACGGTAGGGAAAGCTGCAAGGTCTGGGAAAAGCATAGGGAAGAGCAGGCGACCAGCAGAAGCAGACGCGGGTGTGGAATAGCGGGCAATAACAGCGTCTAAGTAAGCTTTGGTTGTCTCAATAGTAGCAAAACGCGAGCGCTCAGAGACAGGGAGGGCGTGGCTAATGGCAACCTGAGCGACTGCATCGCGGGAGTCCCAGACCGCACAGGCAAGCGCAGCAGTAGAGAAGGTCTCACGGTCATCAGAGGAGGGATCAGCAGGGAGGGGAGCAGATGCGGGGGGGCGGGGGAGCAAGCCGTCGACATGGACAACCAAAGAGTGGCCATCCTGGCGCTGACCTGTAAAGTGGCGGCGGAGATCGGAGAGCCAGGCGGCGAAGTCAACCGCATGGCCCTCGGCGTCCAGTCGGAGCACGAAGTCCGCCATCGTGCAGGGTCAGCGGCACAGCTCCACAGGAACACAGCGACGCAGGAACACAGCGACAGCCCCCTCCAGCACGGCGGCCGCGAAGCGCCTCAGCACGGGCGAGCAGAGGAGACGGAGCCCGAGGCGGCACGGCAGGACGAGCCGGGGCAAAGGGGCCAGGCAGGTGCGGCGGGGCCAGGCAGGCGGGACGGGGCCAGGCAGGGCGCGACGGGGCCAGGCAGGCGCGTCAGGGCCAGGCAGGTGCAGCGGGGCCAAGCAGGCGCGGCGGGGCCAGGCAGGCGCGGCAGGGCCAGGGAGGCGCGGCGGGGCCAGGCAGGCACGACGGGTCCAGGCAGGGCGCGACGGGGCTAGGCAGGGCGCGACGGGGCCAGGCGGGCGCGACGAAGCCAGGCAGGGCGCGACGGGGCGGAGCGGGCGCGACGGGGCCTGGCAGGGCGCGACGGAGCCAGACAGGGCGCGACGGGACCAGGCAGGGCGCGACGGGGCCAGGCGGGCGCGACGGAGCCAGTCAGGGCGCGACGGGGCCAGGCAGGCGCGTCAGGGCCAGGCAGGTGCAGCGGGGCCAGGCAGGCGCGGCGGGGCCAGGCAGGCGCGGCAGGGCCAGGGAGGCGCGGCGGGGCCAGGCAGGCGCGACGGGGCCAGGCAGGGCGCGACGGGGCTAGGCAGGGCGCGACGGGGCCAGGCGGGCGCGACGGAGCCAGGCAGGGCGCGACGGGGCCAGGCGGGCGCGACGGAGCCAGGCAGGGCGCGACGAGGCCGAGCGGGCGCGACGAGGCTAGGCAGGGCGCGACGGGGCTAGGGTGGCGTGACGGGGCTAGGGTGGTGCGACGGGGCCCAGGAGGGGCGCGACGGGGCTAGGAGGCGCGACGGGGCCAGGAGGGGCGCGACAGGGCTAGGGTGGTGCGACGGGGCTAGGCAGGGCGCGACGGGGCCAGGCAGGTGCAGCGGGGCCAGGCAGGGCGCGACGGGGCCAGGCAGGGCGCGACGGGGCTAGGGTGGTGCGACGGGGCCAGGCAGGTGCAGCGGGGCCAGGCAGGCGCGGCGGGGCCAGGCAGGCGCGGCAGGGCCAGGGAGGCGCGGCGGGGCCAGGCAGGCGCGACGGGGCCAGGCAGGGCGCGACGGGGCTAGGCAGGGCGCGACGGGGCCAGGCGGGCGCGACAGAGCCAGGCAGGGCGCGACGGGGCCAGGCGGGCGCGACGGAGCCAGGCAGGGCGCGACGAGGCCGAGCGGGCGCGACGAGGCTAGGCAGGGCGCGACGGGGCTAGGGTGGCGTGACGGGGCTAGGGTGGCGCGACATGACCCAGGAAGGGGGCGACGTGGCTAGGAGGCGCGACGGGGCTAGGAGGCGCTACGTGGTCTAGCTAGGGTACGGGCGGAAGCGGTAGGTGGGGGATGCTAACCTACTCGTAATACCATGTCAAAGTGCGAACGAATAATTACTAGAAGTGGAAACCTAGAACAAATACTAGTTGGTTGTACTCACTAGAAGCATACCTCAGTCTAGCCTATAACTTCTACATAGATAATATGTATAAGTTGACACCAACACCACCACCGTCACTATCAGCACCAGCACCAGTGAAGGTGGAAAGTAGTGGCAGTGGTGGGGTGGTGCGGCAGTGGTGTCAGTTTATCCAATGGTGGGGCGGTTCAAAACCCCTCTGCCACATGGCAGCTCCACCAACACAACTCCCCACCACCATCACCGTCCACAACCACTCCCCACCACCCCACCACTGCCACTGCAGGGGCAAGGGCACCAGGTAAGGAGGAGGCGAGGGGCAAGGGGCAAGGGCACCAGGTAAGGAGGAGGCGAGGGGCAAGGGGCAAGGGCACCAGGTGAGGAGGAGTGGAGATGGTGGTGCTGGTGGGGAGTGGTGAAGAGCAGTCAAGGTGAAACCCCCTAAGTAAGCTGAGACCCAGGCAGGGGAAGGAGGTTCAGAGTACCAGAGCAAGGCAACTGAGAGGCAAGCCTAAGGCAGAGGAGGGGGATTCCCCTGCCCCATGCTCGCATTAACCAGAGGGTTCCAACCCCCCTCCCCCCCCCTGCCCCTCGCCTGCCTTACCCAGGGTGCTCCAACCCCCTTCCCCTACCTCGGTCTCAACATACCCAGGGGGTTCGCACCACCCCTCTGCCACATCCCAGCACCACCACAACCCCCACCCCTTCACCGCTCTTCACCTCTTCCCTCCAACACAGCCACCAGCACCAACACACCACCACCACCCCATCTCGCCATCACACCTTCTCACCAGCACCAACACCAACCCTCCACGCCACCACCAGCACCACCCCATCTCACCACCACCCCTCCACGCCACCAACAGCACCACCCCTTCTCACCACCACCCCTCCACGCCACCACCACCACCACCCCTTCTCATCTCACCACCACCCTTCCACACCACCAACATCACCACCCCTTCACACCACCACCGTCCACGCCACCAGAAGCAGCAGCACAGTCACACACCCACCTCGCCCCACCCACCATCCCCCTTCAACCGCCAGCAGCAGGAGCAGCGTGCAGCACAGGCCCCTTAGAAGCAGCACCGGCAGTACCCATTGCGCTGGAGGCGCCAAGTGAGGCAGGAGGCAAGCACACGGTAAGCCCAAGATCCAATTACCCCTCACCAGCGTGGCAAGAGCTGGCACGAGACAGAACCATTCGGCCGCAATGGTTCTGCCATGGGCCCATTATGCATTAACGCGCGGGTATTGCGATTGGACACAGAGTACTTGACACGTGCACCTGCACTGCCTCACCAGACCCCCATTGCGTATAGTACTGAAGGCGCTGCCCCCAGAAGCCTGCACCGCATGCCATCCCCCACCCTGCCCCACCCACCCACCTCCATCCTCTCCCCCACGCCTTCAGCTTACCTCACTTACCACCGCCATGCACAGCCAAGAGATGCAACGCTGCTGGGGGAAGGGAGGGGGTGAGGGTGTGAGCGACTCTCCTCTGCTCCCCTTCTTGCTCCAGCGCACCACAGGGTGGGAAGCTGCTGGGGAGATAGAGGAGGGGGGGGGGGGAGGAGAGGTTGAGCAAGCGTCCTCTGCTGCTCACCGTGCTGCAGGGCTCCAAGGGGTGGGCAGCTGTGGATGGACGCAGGGAGGAGAAAGAGGAGGGGAATGTGGGGAATGCCGCCATACCTGCACCTATACCATACTTGCACCTATACCATAACTGTGCCTATACATACCATACCTGTACGTTGCTCAAATAACGCCCTAGCCCGCCCTCTAACTGCCCTCGCCTATGCTGCTGCCCTGCTGCCCTGTATCCGCTGCTGCTGCTGCTGCTGCTGCTGCTCCACCACTGCTGCTCAGCTACAGGCTCTGCTGCAGTCTTGATGGCTGCTGCCAAGTAACCTGCCAGGAGGGGTGGGGAATGGTTGGGGGGGGGTAAAAGGGGGAGGGGAGGGGGAAGGAGAAGTGAGTGGAAGGAAGGGAGAGCCTTCCAATACAGAACCAGAGAGGGGAGACAACACTTGCAGAAAGGCAAAGGACAAGAACTGTAGCACAAGGAAAGGGGCTTACCTAGAGGATCCGAACCGAACCCATATACTCTCCCTCGCAGCAGAATACAGTGCTGCTGCTGCTGCGCCGCTCGCAGCTACAGGCTCTGCTGCATACTTGGATTGCTGCTGCCTGGTTACCTGCCTGGAGGGAGGGGAGGGGGTGTAGGGGGGTGGTGAGGAGGAAAGGAGAAGGGAGAAGTGAGTGCCGGGAAGGAGAGCCAAGTGAAACTAAACCAGAAAGTGAACGAGCAGGTGCTGAAGCAGGGACGACAGGGGCTTGCCTTGAACAGCCGAGCCCACCCCTGATACTCTCCCTTGCAGCACGATGCACTACTGCTGCTGCTACTGCGCCGCTCTCAGCTACAGGTTCTGCTGCAGACTTGGCTTGCTGCTGCCAGGTGGCCTGCCAGGAGGGAGAGGGAGGGGGGTGGGGGTGGGGGGGGGGGGGTTAGGGGGTGGTGAGGAGGAAGGGAGAAGGGATAAGTGAGTGCAGGGAAGGGAGAAGTGAGTGCAGGGAAGGGAGATCCGATCAAGAAATAAAAACAGAAGCTGAACGAGCAGGCATTGCAGACCAAGGAAAGCGGCTTACCTCAAACAGCTGAGCCCACCCAATTACTCTCTCTTGCCACACATGGCAGTTCTCCTCCCAGCCTCCCATGCGCGTCCCGTCCCTGCACAGCCACAGGGGAGGGGCGTGAGCGAATGTCGGTGTTGACCCACCCCCTCCCCAGCACCTGCAATGCACACACACGGCAGTCGTGAGTGTGCATGGCATGGCAGCAAGCACAAGCCACGGCCTGGAAACTGCCAAGGCTGGAAGAACAAGGGAGGGGCCACTGGTGGAGCCAGGCCACACGCCACAGACCCCAAGGGAACCTGCACCTGAGGGGGGCTGAACCTGGGGGGGGGATGTACCTTCACCTGGGGATTACCTGAAAGGGGGGGGTCTGTGGCATGTGAGGCGGGCCCAACCAGTGGCATGTGTTTGGAGGTGACAGGTACGAAAGCACAAGCCAGAAACGAAATGACAGCACATACAACACGTGGTATACAAGGGTGAGGGCAGGGAGGAACGAGCACTCAGCTCATGAGTCATGGCGTGAGTGCGAGCAGAAGGCAGCAGAAGCACCAGCAGGTGCCTCCCCTCCTCCGCAGCCCTCCTCCCAGCCGTCGCGTGTGCGCCCCTGCACGGCCACAGGGGAGGGGCGTGGGGGGAGTGTTGGTGTTGACCCCCACAGCCCTCCCCTCCACCTGCAATGCACACAAGCAGCAGCAGTCAGCGCCATGGCATGCTTAGCAAACTAAAGAGAAACCGCAACAGCTGGAGAGCAAGTGGAAGGGAGGGGCCACTGGAGGAGGTCGACCACGCGCCACAGACCCCCACGGGGACCTGCTGTGGCTGAACCTGAGGGGTCACCTGAGGGGTTACCTGAGGGGTTACCTCAGGGGATACCTGAGGGGATACCTGAAGGGTTACCTGAGGGGTTACCTGCACCTGATGGGGTCACCTGAAGAAGGGGATCTGTGAGACGCGAGCCGGGTCTCAACCAGTGGCATAGTTTGAAGGGGAAGCGAAGCAGACGCAACAAATTACTGCTAGGAATGCAACACAAGTGGGCAGGTAGGAGGGTGAGTTAGCTTACCAAAGCAGGAGCATGAGAGCGTTGGACGAGTTGCAGCGAGTGGCATTGAAGGGCCAGCGACCATCTCGGGAGCAGAGCACCGCCCCAGCAATCCTGACGCACTAGCTCCTGCAGGAGGGGAAGAGGGGGACGAGGGGGAAGGCGGGAAGGAGGATTAACTGCAAGGCTAGTGAACAGATGGACGAAACCAGAGAGGTTCAAGTCAACCAACTCTGCAGCGGGAATGACTGGAGAGGGTAAGTGAGGAAAGGGGCTCACCTTCGAAGGCCGACCAAGATTCTCTCCCTGACGGCAGCCCTCCTCCTCCCCGCTTCCCGTGTGTGAATACCTGCACGGCCACAGGGGAGGGGCGTCGGGGGAGAGTCGGTGTTGACCCCCACGCCCCTCCCCTCCACCTGCAATGCACACAAGCAGCAGCAGTCAGTGGCATGCCACGGCATGGATGGCGACAGGAAAAAGAAACTGCACAGGCTGGAAGGAAAGGAAGGGATGACCACTGGTGGAGGCACGACCACACGCCACAGTCCCCCAAGGGGACCTGCTGTGGCTGAACCTGAGGGGATACCTGAGGGGGTTACCTGCACCTGAGGGACTACCTGAAGAAGGGGGTTTATGGCCTGTGAGCCGGCCCAACCAGTGGCATAGTTTGAACGGCGAGTGCATGAGAAGCGGCAAGGAAGTACTGCAAGGAACGCGACGCAAACAACTTCGCGTAGGTAGGAAGGAGGGTACTTAGCTTACCACGGCAACAGCAGCTGCACCAGCAGCAGCAGCAGCAGTGAAGGCGCTGGAAGAGCAGGCACGACTGTGATGCCCCGAGCATCCCCCGAGCACGCCTGGCACTTGATCTCCTGAAAGGGAGGGGGTGAGGGGAAGGGGGGGATGCAAGTGGAAACAGAGTGAGTACGACAGCGAATGCTGCACCTGGGGTGAATAGGATATATGCATAGGTGGTGAAACGGAGGAAGAGCGAAGGGAGGCGCCACTGGTGGAGGCACAGCTACGATCCACAGACAAGGAGGCTTGTACCTGGTAGGTACCTGCAGTAGGGGGGGGGGGGGGGGGTACCTGAAGGCTTAACCTGAGTGGGGTGTTTACCTGTAGTAAGGGTGGTCTGTGGGCCGTACACTATGCAGCCACCAGTGGCACCATTTCATGGGAGAAAGCATACGATGCGATGGAAAAAACGACACGGCGTGCAAGGGAGGGTGAGCGGAGGAAGCGACCACTTAGCTGATGGTGTGAGCGAGGCAGCTGAAGGCAGCCGAAGCAGCATGAGGAAGCCGACGCAGCGTCAGGAGCTCGCGCGCCGTCTTACCTCCGTTCCTCGGAATCAGCGGCCAAGTGACCTGCCAAGGGGAGAGGGGGCGGAGGGAAGAGTGGGAGAGCGAAGTCGGGCGAGGGGATAGCAACAGAGGCGTGCGCAGCAGCGCTGGCACATGCAGTATGCGTTGGAGCAACGCCAGCGCCTGGTGCATTCCCTGAAGCAGCTCCGACACCTGGGGGAGGGGGAGAGGAAAGGAAGGGGGGGGGGGGAGGGGAGGGTCGCCCATGGCGCACATGCACGAGCGAGCGACAGCGAGGGAGACATCAAGGAGGAGGGGACTGGACGCGTGCGCGCAGCGACGACAACAAGTCTAACCCGCTAACGACTGCGCACTATGCAAGCGGCTCAAGCACGTGTGCCATGGGCTTCCGGGAAGGAGGGGATGGGAGGGGGGTGGGGACGATGAGCAATCGCCGTGAAGAGGGAGACGACCACAAAAATTGCGGAAGCAGAAAGTCAACGCGAAGGCAGGGAGGCGGGTTGACGGATTGGGTCGGGTACTTAGCTTGGCGTCTTCGGTCGGAGTAAACTCGAGGCAGAAGCGACGGCGTTGGGAGTCGCTGGCTGACGGCTCTCTGAGCGTTGCAGAAGGCTCTCTGAGAACCCTCTTCAGTAAGTTGGCAGATTGAACGGTTGTTGAAGTTTCTTCGCCCACGCGACTTGAATCCCTGCAACATGCAACACGAGAATGGGTTAGCACAAGGAAGAAACGAAATCGTAATAGAGAATTTTCTTCTTAACGATCACTTTGAACCTTAACTTTTCCGGAGCTTACCACTTCAACATCTTCTTCAATGTCGTTGTATTGACGCGATAAGACATCACGCCATTTCGAAGAAGAGGATCGGCGTGGAAGAATGGCAGAAGCGCAGATCTGCTAAGCGTGCTGCCACGCTCGACGCCTCTGGGCTTCAGATCTTGGTTTCACTTCAGGTTGAGCAGCAGAAATCAGAACCTGGAAATTGAACGAGAATTATCAGTCAACAGCGGAGGCTCGAAAAAGCAGAAAATTGCAAGAACGGTAAGCCGTTGCTGAAATTTACCATATGAATCTGCTTCCGCGAAGATGGATGGACATCTTTCGGTTGAAAGAGACGAGAGTCACGTTGACGAACCGGAGACGCGAAGCACCACGACGCAGCAGCGGCAAGCAGAGTCGTCGGACGAAAAATGAGGCGAAATGGGATAAAAATGAGGCAGAATGCCTCGGCTGGGAGAAATCGTAGTCTCGTGAGGGGCATTCTACGGCTGGAAATGTTGGAAATGAGAAATTGGAATGAGGCGAAATGCCTTTTCTTGGGGACTCAAACCCCAATGCCAAGGGGGTGGGGGGTGCGGAAACAATAGGCTCACTTTTCTGTGGACGAAAAACGTCCGAGAAAACGATATGCTTAAGGGAAAATGGAGGGAGGGATCTATGACCGTCGGATCTATTCCCAGAAAATCGCGTTATACGGCCGAGATTGGAATAAGCGGTTCAATGGACGACGTTAAAGCTCCGGATCGCCCATTTCGCATCCAATCAGCATGAGTCCCGCTCGAAATTTGTAAAAACTTGACGGTTTCCCGCTCCAGGAATAGACGTTGGCTTTGGACGAAGGACGGAGGGATGCACAGCCGTAAGTCTCTTCAAAACAAACTGATAAACGCCTCAGATCTGCTAACAACAGTTCGTGACGCTTGCACGGTGGTTCACCACAACGACCGGCAGTTTTGGAAATAAGGGATGGATCGGCCTGGTAAGTTACCGTTGGATCATCCTGGCAATCTCAAGATGTACGGCGATGGATCGGCCTTCCTAACGGCTGTTTCGTAGAGCAAAATGGGTTACACCAGTCGGGTTTGAGATCTGATCTGGGTTCTGAGACGAAGGCTGGTTTGACGAAGACTTTTATTATGATAGGTTTGCAACAGAGTTGGCGAATTCGTTTCAAAAGGAGGATACACAGGATTTGCGAGACTCGCCTTACAACCAAGTTTCTAAGGTTACCAAACACTTTCGCCCTCGTTACCCCCCTCGCGCACTTCGCTAAACTCTTCGTCTCCCGTTGTTGTGCAATCCACTTCCCCCATTGCTCAGCCAAAGTATAGGGTTCTTTCGCTTGTTCCCTGCAATCATACCCCCTTGCTCCCCGTTTCTGCTGGTTCCGCTCAGGGCTTATGTTTTACGGGTAACTACCCGGATTTTGACAAAATAACGGGTGGTTGTTCGACCGAAATCGGATTGCGACGTGTTCGATTTTTACCGAACCCGGATTCTCATGGGTATATTTCGACCAGAACCCGGGAAGTAACGTGTTTGGCTTTGGCAAACACGGAAACTACAACTTCTCACACCACCCCACCCGCCGACCCCCCTCCATTCCCTCTCCCCAGGGCAAAGCAGCCCAGCAACAAAGTTCCAGAGATAGATTTATAAGAGCTGAGGATAGATTTATAAGAGCTGAGAGGAGTACTTTGAGGTGTTTCCCTTTGTAGAACGCAGGAACTTTTCGTTAGAGCGTTTGTCATCACGGAAAAATCCCTGGACTGGTGTGCCATTTCTTTCCTAGTGTTTGCCTGCTCTCCACCCAGGGCTTCCCTGGGCTGTCCCTGGCACTTCCGTAGCTATTATCGTTGGGATTTTGCCAAATGAACCACTCCTGAGCGCGTCTAGGCTTCTGCCGCGATTTTCTCAACACGGGAACTGCGCTCCCGCGCACCCACACTGTTCAACATTGACACGTCGTCGCGCCGTCCTAGGTTGACACGTGTCGTCCATGAATAAACTCCAGACCATCACGAATGCTCTAGTTACCGCAATAGTCGCCCAAAGCGTGGTTGCGTTCACGTTGCGGCGAAATACACTGGCGGCAAGCAGTCTCTCATCTCTCTCGTCCATTGCCAGCACTAGCATTAATCGACGACGCTCCGCCATTCATACTCTCTCGTCCATTCATTCGTACACTGACGCTCCATCCCCTCGTCGTGCTTCCTCCATCACCACTCCGCACAACGAAGGTGCCACTTTCCGCGTATAGACGCCCATAAACTCGAGCGCGCGCTGGTCCGTTCCATCCAGGCACCGCGAGAGCGACTGGCCGACTGCTCCCTGCATGCTGCATGAGCGACACTAGATCGCTTAGGTCACTCCCGTAGTAGCTCGCCGCCATTCGTGGATCGCTTAACTCTGAACCTACCTTGACGAAGCTGCTGCTGCTGAAGGCTCTTTTCGCTCACCGCCTCGATCTTGCCGCGGCGTAGCGGGAAGCGCATTGGTCGTCTGTCCGCTGCTCCGCCAAGACCGGTCGCTCAATAGCGGGGTGGGGGCGGGCGGGGGAGGGGGGACGGGGAATGGAAGAGGCCGTCACGGCGAAAAGCGCGCGGGAGGCGGAGATCGAGCGGGCGTGGCGGACTGCAAGGGAACAACCGGGGCTGCGGGGAGGAGCGCCTGGAAGCTCAGAGCCGTTTCACGTGGCGGGGGCGCGGGGGCTATCGGAGACGCGGGCGGGGGGCCAAGAAGGGACTGGGGGGACGCAATGGGGGGCGTGGGCGGGTGTATCGGGGGCTGCGTGGGATGGGGACTGGTTGGGAGCGGTGCGGCGGAGAGCTGGGCCGTGGGAGGGGCGGCCACTGGTGGTACTGAGTCTGTTCGACGGGTGCGGGGCGATATGGCAGGCGCTGCACGACAGTGGCATTCCGTTCATTGGCGTCAGCTCTGAGATCGTGAGTGGCACCGCACTCACATGCTCCCGGCGACCATCTCCTCGTAACCTGCTGTTACCATGTTATTCTGTTAGTCCATGCGCACTCACATGCACTGTTACCATGTTATTCACTGCTTTTCCCTTCGCTGTTCGTGCCATTCCTGACACCCACCGCCGTCGGTCTAGTGATTAGTGTCCCCCCAAACCCTTTCCCTCCCAGGACCCCTTTGCAGTGGAGGTGGTGCGGCACAGGTGGCCGTCAGTGCAGCATGTGGGTGACGTCACCACCCTCACCCCTGCTGCCATCGCTGCCGCTCTCGCTGCTGCTGCCACTGGTACTGGCACTGCTACTGGCAATGTTCCCACTGCTGCTGCTGCTGCTGCTGGTGCTGACACTGCTGCATCTCCCCCTGCTGCTGGGCCAGCAGCTGGCACTGTAGCTGCCAGCAAGGGGACTCTCCCCAGAAAGTGCAAGGAAGCTTCACCAGCTGCTCCTGCTGGTGGCCAAGTCGACCTCATAGTGGGCGGCTTTCCTTGTCAGGACTTGAGCAGCATGAACAGGACAAGGGTGGGGTGAGTGGCAGGACAGCGGAGATGGGGAACTCAACCCGCCATTCCTTCTTCCCTCCCCTCCCCACTCCCTTTCCTTCCCTCACGCACATCTCCCCCCCCTGCATACAAAGCTGGCTCCCCCTTAACACCCCCTTTCTCCCCCACTTGTACTTCCCTCCCCCGCCCTTCCCTGCGCTCCCTCCTCTCTCTCCTGTGTGCCCCAGTCTGCATGGCCCGCGCAGTGGGCTCTTCTTCCACCTCCTCCGCCTCATCCAGCAGCTCTCTCCCAATTGGTAACCTAAAAGAATAGCAATAACCCCTGTTGATTTTGTAAGCGCTGCTTGTTTTTTTTTTAATGCTATTGAATGAACTCTTGACAAAGTGTGTTCCCTCCACATGTCTGGGCTGTTCTTACTGCAGGTTCCTGGTGGAGAACGTGGCGAGCATGCAGTGGATGGATCGAGACGAGATCTCCAAGTATCTGGGCGTGCCGCCCATCTGCATCGACTGTGCCGACCTCACAGCACAAGCTAGGAGGCGGCTGTTTTGGACCAACCTGCCGCTGCCAGCTCACATGCCGCCCGTGCGCTTCCACCCGTCTACTCTGCTGCAGAGCAAGCTGAGCCACGCCATCGCCACTGAAGACAAGTGCGCGGTGGGTGTGGGTGGGGGTGATGGAATGAGATATGGAGGAGACAACAGTGGATGATTGCTGCCACCTGCAAATCTTGCTGCATAGAAAACTTAGCCTCGCGCCTCCTCTTCATCCAAGCCTCCCCGCCTTGCAACCAACCCTCTGCCCCTTTCCTCCAGCCTGTAACGAAGGCAAATTTTCGCATTGCAGGGAAGGGCCACATGAACCAGGTGACCTGCAGTCACGCCCACTCCGCCCACTCCTTCCTCACCCCTGTGTGAATCATCACCCCCTTGAACCCTCCCTTCCCCTCCTGTCCTCCAGCCTGTGATGAAGACCAACTTCCGCACGGCAGGCAAGGGAAGAACCAACCAGGTGATCTGCATGCGCTCCCACTCCGCCCGCTTCTTCCTCTCCCACGAGATCGAGAGAATCTTTGGATTCCCACCCGGATACACCAAGATCCCCGCCGCCCGGTTTGCTGCTATCAAAGCCGGGAGGAGAGGGGCAGGCGGGGAGAGCACAGAGGTGGGGGATGGGGGGGAGAGAGCAGAAGGGGTGGCAGGGGGAGAGGGAGGGGGCGGAGGAGAGGGATGGGGAAGGGGCGGAGAGGGGGTAAGGGGGGTTGGATGAGTGCATCTGTTGGGTTTGGTACATGGAAAGGGGAGGAGGGTTGGGAGGAGAGGGTGGTGAAGAGCGAAGGAGGGGGGATGAAAGACGGTGCAGGTGCTAGCGACCCCTCCTCCTGGCCTTCCTTCTCCCCCGTGCGAGTGCTGGGTAGGGGGGCATTCGATGGCAATGACGAGGGAGACGCATGGGCTCATGGTGTGAATGAGGTGCATGCACGCACTGCTGAGGGGGATGCCGAAGGGGGGCCGCTTTTGGCCCAGGATAGTGGGGACTGGGTGTTGGGGCTACCAGCAGGGGAAGAGGCGAAGGGGTGTGGTGACGGTGGGGGGGAGAAGGGCGGAGATACGGGGAGAGGGGTGGGGGAGAAGAGGCATGGAGTGGCGGATGGGGACCAGGAGGGGGATGGGGGGAAGAGAAGGAAGGTAGGGGAGGGGGAGGTGAGTGGGGAAGGGGAGAAGGTGGGGAAGGAGGGAGGTGGAGCTGAGTTGGGATTGGGGGGGAATGGACACGTGGAAGAGAAGGGGACTGAGATACGTTGCAATGCGGTGGCAAACGGTGATTATGCAGTCACAAATGGTGACAATGCGGTGGCAAACGGTGATTATGCAGTCACAAATGGTGACAATGTGGTGGCAAACGGTGATTATGCAGTCACAAATGGTGACAATGCGGTGGCAAACGGTGATTATGCAGTCACAAATGGTGACAATGTGGTGACAAATGGTGACATGGCGGATGTTGATATTGATGTGGAGGACGAGGGGGATGGAGGGGAGGAGGGTGGAGGGGAGGAGGGTAGAGCGGATGGAAGGGAGGCGAGTGGAGAAGAGAGGGATGACGTGAAGGATGGAGGTGGCAATAGACAGGCATACAGGGATTTGAAAGCACACGAATGTTCTCCTGCGGCTAATTCTCCTGCTGCTGGTGCCGCTGCTGCTGCTTCTCCTCCCCCTGCTGCCTCTGCCGCTGCTGCTGTTGTTGGTGCTTCTTCTGCATTGAACAGTGATAATGTGGTGATGAGTGGTCATAATATGGTGACAAACGGTGAGGATGCAGATGACGATGATGATGATGATGTGGTTGAGGTGACAGACTGCGTACAGGGAGAAGAGACAGATGAAGGGAAGAGGGGTGGAGGGAAAAGGGATGGAGAAGAGAAGGGTGGAGGGGAGAAGGATGGAGGAGAGAAGGGTGGAGGGGAGAAGGATGGAGGAGAGAAGGGTGGAGGGGAGAAGGGTGGAGGGGAGAAGGGTGGAGGGGAGAAGGGTGGAGAAGAGAAGGGTGGAGAGTTGAGCGACGGCAGTGGCAGTGGACGGGCAGACTGTGGTTTGAGGACAATCAAACGTTCTCCTGCGTCTGTGTCTGCTGCCGCTGCTGCTGCTGCTGCTGCTGCTGCTGCTGCTGCTGCTGCTGCTGCTGGCGGCAGTGCTGGGAGGTGCTACTCACTTCGATCTCGGCCAAAGATCGGATTCTACAGCGAGTCAGAGCTCATGTGAGTGAGAGGCATGTGAGTGCGTGCGAGCTCTTGTGTCACAGATGGATATGCGTATCGTGATTCAGTTTGTTCGAGGTTCGCATGGGCGCATGCATGCTGTTGGTTTCTTTCAACACTGTGCCTGGTCGAGGGGGAAAGGGAGGCAAGTCAGTCTTGTTCTCTCCAACCGCCCTTCCCCCGCCCTCTCAACACGGCACAAGAGAGAATGGAATTTCATTGCACTCAATCCAGTCTGCCCTTTCCTCCCGCCTTCCTCCCCACACGGCACCAGGAGGGTGGGCATCAGGCAGTGGACAAAGGAGAAGAGGCGACAACGAAAAGAGGGCGGTGCAAGGGGGATGACTGGGAAAGCGAAGGAGGAGGGGAGGGAAGAGGAGGAGGAGAGCAGGAAGGAGGAAGAGGAGCGGAGGCAGGAGCAGCTTCAGGAGAGGGACAGATGGGGCTTGCTGGGTAACTCGTTCCCAGTTGAGTGCCCCGATAGCAGTGCCCGATAGCAGTGCCCGATAGCAGTGCCCGATAGCAGTGCCCGATAGCAGTGCCCGATAGCAGTGCCCGATAGCAGTGCCCGATAGCAGTGCCCGATAGCAGTGCCCCGATAGCAGTGCTGCCGTCCAGCCAATGACCCCCTGTGCCTCCGTCCAGCCAATGACCCCCTGTGCTGCCGTCCAGCCAATGACCCCCTGTGCCGCCGTCCAGCCCTGTGCCTTATTCCCTTGCGCTCCTCGTTCCTCTGCCCCCCCCCTCCGTGCCCACTCTTCTTCCCTCCCTCCCCTCTCGATGTCCTCTGTGTGTGCTACCTCGAAACATCTGATCCCCTCCAAGAATGACCACTCACCAAACTCATGCTTTTTGTTTTGTCCTCCCCTTCCTCCCCCTCCCCCCCACCCCCACATCTCCCCTCCCCCCCCCCCCCTCCCCTCCCCCCTCCCCCCCTCCCATCAGGTTGCAGTCATCTCCTACCTGCTGACGCCCCTCCTCTCCCCCTCCCTGCGCCTTTCCTCAGCCCCGTGCGCCCTTCCTGACTGTGTCCCCCGCCACGTCACTCAATCCAAGTGCGCTCTCATGGCCCCTGGAGAGGTGAGAGTAGGATCATGTGTAATAGTATCATCCTGACAGCCTTCAGTAGCCGCCCTTTCGCGCCCTGCCCGACTGTGTGCACATGACTGTGTGCACATGACTGTGCGCACATGACTGTGTGCACATGACTGTGCGCACATGACTGTGTGCACATGACTGTATGCACATGACTGTGTGCACATGACTGTGTGCACATGACTGTATGCACATGACTGTGTGCACATGACTGTGTGCACATGACTGTATGCACATGACTGTGTGCACATGACTGTGCGCGCTCATGGCTTGAGCATCCATGGTTCTTGCGGTAAAGATTTGAGAGTGGTACCAGCCCTGTTTGCTGCTGTGTGCCGTCCGACCAACCAACTCCCGTGCAACATGCATAGCATGGCATGCACTCAATTCTCTCAACTGCACTTCCCAACTATTCCATCTGCCCAAACATTTGGACCCCTCCCCTCGCCACCACGCCATCGCGTGTGGGCGGTCTACACATGGTCCAAGCTGGGTCCAGGTGTGACGTTCAAATCAAACCACACCCAGCCTTCCCGGTCATCGTCTCCCTTCCCTCTCCCGCCCAATTATTCTCATCCCTCCCACCACGCCATCAGGTGTGGGCGGCCTACAGCTCGTCCAAGCTGCCCAATTGGTATGCCCTGATTCTGTCCATTCGGGGCGGCAGATTTGACACCTATTCGATCCGCAAGCCGTCTCCGCTCTGCATAACCTAGTGAGTGGCGACGCGACAGGGCTGGGCGCTTCTACAAGTCGCACCTTTCTTGCGATGTAGCTCCAGTCTGTTGGGCGCCATTCCTTGCAAGTTTATTCAATGTAGTCTTCTTTTTATTGTGCTTCAGGCCCCCTACTGTGACTTGAATCGCACTGTAGCATGGTGTACAGATATTTTTCCGTGACTCTTGGCTCTCGTATTCTCCCACATCCCCGTCTCTTATTGCAGCCGTTACTTCGTTCTTGTGGATGCTGATTCTACTTCCGCACAACCCAAGGGCGCACTGCTGAAAGCGGCACACGCTAGCATGACACTGTCTAACACTGCGCAGCGTGACTTATTACAACAGAGCACATTTAATCACGAGGATGCTGTCGGTGGTGGTGAAGGGGAGTGTGCGATCGAGGAGATCGGATGCGATTCGGCTAGCGAGGGTGAGGAGCAGAAGGAGGACGATGACACTGATAATGATGGGGATGAAGACGAGGAGGAGGAGGACGACGACGACGAATATGAGCACACATGGCATGGAGCGGGGCTGTATGAGATGGAGCAGGAGACGCACACGGCCAACAGCCTCTCCGTCTTCAGCCACAGGTACTCTCTTTGTCTTCCTGTTTGCACGCTCTCTCTTTTTGTCGCAACTACATAATCTTAATAGCAACCACCACCACCACCACCCCCACGGCCATCAGGGTGCGGCGGGTGAGGCGGATAGCAGGAGGGCCGGGCAGGAGTCTGCATGCGGTGCACCCGCAGCCGCACACCGTGTGGGCGCTCAAGTGGCCCTTCAAACGCGACTTCTCCCTCGTCGTCAGTGCACTGCCCGATTCCTCCCAATGCGTTTAGTTCTATGTTCCTTGCTCTATTCATTCTCCCTGCACCTCATTCCCTTGGTCACTTACCATTTCGTCCCCACCTTTTGTTTCGCTCTCTCATCACCTCTCCTCAAATCACCCACTCCCCACCCAATCCACGACCCCTCCCTTTCATCCAACCCCCACCCCCCTGCAGTACGTGGTAACCAGCAGCATTGAGTTCACCCCTCACACCCTCCCCTCCTCCAAGCATCCCTCTGCCGCCTCTCCATCGCCCTCCTCCCAGCCCTCCCCCACCCTAACCACTTCATCCCGAGCCTCCATCCGAGCCTTCTGTGCCACGGTGCGGGCTCTGGTGCGGCGGCGCAGTATCCCAGTGGGAGGGGGCAGGGTGGACCCCCTGTACAGCGTGCATGCGCACGAGTGGCAGGTGTGGGACGTGTCCGTGTTTGCCTTCGAGGCGCCGTTTCACTTCCATGGCGATGGGAACACGTTGGTTGTAGAGCCACAGAATCATAAGGAGCCGGAGTGATGACACAAGGACAGGGCAGTGTGCCAGTAGAAGAGGACATGCTAAACAGTCTGTGCAATGTGCACACACATGAGTGGCAGATGCGGTACCTAGCTGCCTTCGCCTGGCACCGTTTCACTACCACCACGACAATGAAAATACTATTGTGGTGGAGCCACAGAGCCATAGGGAGCCGGAGTGAGAGTGTACTGTTAGCTACAAGGAAAAGAGTAGCAGCTAGCTAGTGTATGCTAACCGAGGACCATATAATCTGATGTTGGTACCTAACATGATGTGAATGTGAAGTATCAATATATGTTCGTTCATTTTGATATTTGCATTGCCATGAACTGAGAAACATACATACAATATGTACAAATTTACAGAGCCAACTAGCTGCATTGCAAACACCAGTTCTATGCATCACCACCCATCCCCAACATCCCTTACCAAATCTGTTACATCCACTTCTCATGCATTCTAGCCTCTCAGAACTCCCTTAACCTCCTCCCATCTCATTCTCTCCATGATACCTACCTGCTGTCAGAAACCCAGTCACTAACCACTGGGTTAAAAGGGCTTGTTGAATAGCGGGTAAGTGCGCCCATAGCCCCCCAGGCTCTGCACCTGTGGCCCTTCCCCGAGGATCTTTTCAAGGGTAAACCAGCGGGTCACTCGACACCTGCTGCCACATCACTTCCATGATGTCAACGATGTTGCCACATTCCCTCCACGTGCTACTGATGCTGTTGCCTTGAAGTCGCTGCTGCTAACGGTGGTGGCAACTCAGAAAAGCGCCGATAATACTACGAGGCACAAAGGGAAGGTAAAAAAAATCAGCCCATCAAAGCGTTGTTTTTTCAGAGTTCAACCTCAGCAGAATATAATTGAAGAATTGCGCAACAAGGGCAGTACATGGCGTACCTCCGCACCTCGTCAATAGAACGCATCTTGCCCTTGAGGAGGACACATCTTCGCCCCCTAATCACCAAATTCTTACCCAATCACAGATAGCACTCACCTCGAGCTCGTCTGCCAGCATGGCCTTCTGAGACACAGCTCTCTCCCTCTCAATCTCAGCCACTTTCTTGTCCACCACCGCTATGTTCTTCTCTGCGACGGCCAATTCCTTCACCACCAGCGTACGCCTCAGAGTCTCCGTGAGGCGACAAATCTCCCTCTGCACACTAGTGCCTTCACTAACAGCCTCTCGTGTTGTGACCTGCTGCGACTGGTGATGACACACAGTAAGGGGCACGTAAGGCCAAGTGAGCCGAGGCATTGGAAACACGATAACTTTCTGCAGGCCAATCTTGAAACGGAGAAAGATACGGAAATGAAAGAAGAAAAAGAAGAGTTAAGGCGGTTTGGTTGGGGAAAAGAAAGTGAGTGGACGAGAGGAGTGTCTTTGTGGCTCCCTGACCGCGTCCATGTTGCAACAGGAGCGGCCGGAGGTTGCAGAAGAGCAGCAAAGTTAATGCATGCAACAAGGACCTCAACAAGTACCTTGCAAGCATCCCAGAGCGCCAATAAATCATCAGCGAATCTTCAACCCCACCACCCCTCGTTGCAAGTACCCGATCCAGATCCGCAATGAACTCTCGACCCACCACCCCTCATTGCACGTACCGTCAGCTCCGCCTCCAGCCTCTCCCTGACCGCCACAACCTCCCTTCTTGCGGTCTCCGCGCCATCTAGGGACGCCCTCACACTCTCCAGCTCCTGTTGCAGAGCACTGACAGTATCGAGTGCTGTTCTCTCGCTGCCCGCCCTCTCCTGCTGCAACAGGGGACGAGATCGGGGAAGAACACGCGGGTAACAGCTCAGTCAACAACGGGAGAAGAGGGGACATGCCCAGCGAGGACAGCACGCAAAACGTCACATCCGCAAGATACGAGCCGCGCCGGCCCTAGCACAACCCACCATGCCACACCCACCATGCCACACCCTCCATGCCACCACCCACCACGCCACCACCCTCCATGCCACCACCCACCATGCGAGCACCCACGCTATCCCCACCCACTATAAACTTGTTATCTTAAAGCCTTCCTCGTTGCATTGCACTTACCCTGAGCTGCTCCGCCAGCACACTCTTCTCAGCCACAGCGGCGTCCCGTGCCGCCTGTGCGCCCTCTAACGCCTCCTTGGTGCGTTCCAGCTCCCCACGCAACTCACTGCTCACCCTGCTGGCTTCACTTTCAGAGCTCTCCCCTCTCTCCCGCACCGACTAAGGATGCGACAGGGAAGGCGCAAACAAAGGGAAAAAACGGAGAATTGAAGTATGTGAAGCATGCGACATCACAAGAGTTCGACTAGAAAACCGAAGCCATTCAGCACACAACAGGGAGAGGAGGGCCATAATAGCACGCCAGCTCTAAGAGGGAGCAGCGGGTTGTGAGCAGGGAACTGAGGGATGCGGAGAGGGAGAAGGCCCAGGCTCTTGCTAAGAAGAGCTAGCTCGCAAACGAGATGGCGGTGAGTGTTGAGAGATAAGCCAGCCATCTCGTTCGCCACCAAGCCCTCGTGTCTTTGTTCTCGTTGTTCTCTCATCTCCTCTCTAACACATTCATCTCTCATCTCTCGTTGTCCACATATAAGAGGAGAACACGCCGACCACTTGAGTCCACGCTGCAGGAGGTGAGGGTTGCGGGGATGGGGGAAGTAGCTGCCAGCACAATCCGTCTGCTGCAGACAGAGCTGCAGCGAGTGAAGGGAACTCTGAGGAACGTAGAGGAGACGAAGTTTGTGGCCACAGCGGAGAAGAACAAGCTCCAACAGGAACTGGATGTGAGTCACGGGGAGGTCAGCTCGGGAGCTTGGGAGTGTGCGGGGCGTCCCTAGATGGCGTGGAGGCAGCAAGGAGGGAAGCTGTGGTTTGTTCCTCAGAGCTGCAGGTTGTGAAAAAACAGCCACAGCAACCCTCCTTGCTGCCTCCGCGCCATCTAGGGACGCCCGCACACTCCCAAGCTCCAGAGCTGACCTACCCATGACTCACATCCAACTCCCGTTGGAGCTTGTTCTTCTCCGCTGTGGCCGCAAACTTCGCGTCCTCTACGTTCCTCACAGTTCCCTTCACTCGCTGCAGCTCTGTCTGCAGCAGACGGACTGTGCTGGCAGCCACTTCCCCCATCCCCGCAGCCCTCACCTCCTGCAGCGTGGACTGAAGTGGTCAGCCTGTTCTCCTCTTATATGCGGACGGGATGAATGCGTTAAGGAGAAGCAACCAACGAGATGAGAGAACGACGAGAACAAAGACGCGAGGGCTTGGTGACACTACTATACTTGGAAGGAGATGCACACAGCGCAAAACCTCCCTTGTCCATACTTCCTGCTCCTCCCTCTTCCGCTCCTCCTGTTCTTATCACCACCCACCATGTCACACCCACCATGTCACACCCACCATGTCACACCCACCATGTAACACCCACCATGTCACACCCACCATGTCACACCCACCATGTCACCACCCACCATGCCACACCCACCATGTCACACCCACCATGTCACACCCACCATGCCACACCCACCATGTCACACCCACCATGCCACACCCACCATGTCACACCCACCATGTCACACCCACCATGCCACACCCACCATGCCACACCCACCATGTCACACCCACCATGCCACACCCACCATGTCACACCCACCATGTCACACCCACCATGTCACACCCACCATGTCACACCCACCATGTCACACCCACCATGTCACACCCACCATGTCACACCCACCATGTCACCACCCACCATGCCACACCCACCATGTCACACCCACCATGTCACACCCACCATGCCACACCCACCATGTCACACCCACCATGCCACACCCACCATGCCACACCCACCATGTCACACCCACCGTGCCACACCCACCATGCCACCACCCACCGTACCACCACCCATCGTGTCACCACCCCCCAATAGCTCACATCCAATTTCCGCTGGAGCTTGTTCTTCTCCGCTGTGGCCTCAAACTTCGCCAAATCTGCGTTCCTCAGACTTCGTTTGCAGTTGAGTGACTGTGCTGGCAGCCGCTTCTCCCGTTCTCGCAGTCCCCGCCTGCAACAGGGGACGAGACGGGGACGAGACGGGGCACGCAAAAACAGAGCGTGGACTGAAGTGGTCGAACTGTTCTCCTCTTATACGCAATCAGAAGAATTGCTTCAAGGAGAAGAAATCAATGCAATGAGAGGACGACGAAAACAAAGATACGAGGGCTTGGTGGCACTATTATGCACACGAGAAAGAACTGCACCTGATCGATAGCTTTGTCCCTACTTCTTGATCCTCCCGCCACCCCTCTCCCTGCACCTCCCACTGCCACTCCTGTTCATGAAATATGTCACAGCGAGCGGCGCCATCACCACCACTGCCATGAGCACTAGGACCAGTCGCAACTGCACTCTCACAACTCTCATTACCTGCGCCCCCACCACCACCACCACCACTACTAGACACCCATGCTTTCGCTTGCAACAGCCATTAAGGTATCCAGCTCCGCCTCCATCTCCTTCCCCTGCTTGGTTGCAAACTTGAAGAGGCACAAGTTGTCGAGTCCTCCTACTAATAGACATAGCCAGAAGTCAGAGGCGTCAGAGTGCCACCCCATGATGTTATGAAGGCCAACGGTGTAGAGATACTCTTTGAAAGAGTGAAGGAAAAAATGGACCTAAAACAAAAAAAAAAAAGGCAAGGGAAGACATGAAGGCATAAGAAATGTGACAAATGGCTCTGGCATATCGCAAATCCTACAAAGCCGATTCACTTAACTCACCCCATGTATATCCTTTCCAAGGATGAGTTGTTTTGGCAAAGTCTTGGAAGAATCTTCAGCACACAATACAGAGTAGTGTGAACCCGCAAATGAATGGTCATCCAAGATGCTTATACTCCCCTCACTTCCAATTCCTCGATTCAACTGAGATTGGAAGTTGGGAACGGTCTCAAAAAGGAAGCATCCAGGTAGTATCAAAAGCTAGTAAAATGGTAGCAACAAGATGCAAAGAAACTAGCAGGGGAAGAACGGGACTTGGAGCTCCTAAACCAGCACGTGTGAGGGTTAGTATAAAGTGCGTAGCACTACATTGTAATGACGGCACACTTCCTTTACCCAATCTTCGTCCTGCAGCAAACGCCTGAACTGCTGTGGAAAGACTCGCTCCAAAAGCACCTGCCAACCTCTGCATAGGAAAGAGAGGATCATAGCATTAACCAAATACAGTATTGCTGGTGAGGTGCAGTGAACACTAGAAACACTTACGAGGGAATCTCTCCATCCGTTTGAAAACCAAGCTCCACAATGCGCGGATGGCACCCAAATAGGTCGCGTCCATGCGCGAAATGAGGTCGGACCCCCATGCACAGTTCTGATTCATCGAGGTAAGAACAGAGGGGGGTGGGGGGTGCGGGGAAGGGGAGGCGGAAGGGGAGAGTGAGGGGAAAAGAGGAGTGGGAGGGGGAGTGGAAAGGAAGGGGCGAGGGAGTGGGGAGGGAGAGGGAGTTGGAGGGAGAGCGGACATGTATTGTGGGGGGGTGGGGGAGGGGGGAAGGGCGAGTAGGGCGAGTAGGGCAAGTAGGGCGAGTAGGGCGAGTAGGGCGAGTAGGGCAAGTAGGGCGAGTAGGGCGAGTAGGGCGAGTAGGGCAAGTAGGGCGTAGTCAAAAGAAGTGGTCAAGGATAGGTGCAACTCCTGCACATTCACACTGACAGGTGAAGCAGGGAGGCAGACTGGGGGGGGGGGGAGGGAGGCCTTCTAGAGAAAATGAGAAGGAGCTTCTCGTTCTTGTCCTACTTTCTTAAAGCCAGCCTTGGTCAATAAGGCCTCCAGGTGGGACCGAACGAATTTGGCAGAAGGCAGCTCATGTGCCAAGCTTGCATCAGAGCTATCCGCCTCCGACCTGAGAAGCGAGGGTGAAAACCAAAAGAAAAGCATCATCGCAATTTGCACGAAAGAAATGAACAAAGAAAACGCATTACAAAAGTGAAGGCACAAGGGACGGATCGAAGGTGCACAAGATGACCCACTCACTTGCTGTCAATGTTGGACAGCGACAGATCAGCACAAGTCTCAGCCATTCTGGAAGGCAGAGAAACGGCAGGACAAGATTGAGGAGCAGAAAAAGAAGATATTGGATCCGACCTCGGTAAGGAGAACTTGCGCAGGGAGGTGGTTTTACCCAACCTCGGTAACAATTGCGTCTTGGTCTAATTTGTACAATCCCTACTAGGAGACTGGAACATTGCACACAAAAGCAGTTCCATGACGAGTGGCTCGTTAGGTGGCTGCGCGCATCGATCACGAGATCCTAGACTCTGCAAAAACGGTAGCCAGCTAATTGCACCTTACACTCCTCGGTGGGCTGGCAGCCAGCTAATTGCACCTAGGCCTGGGATCGCAGCCCAACCTCTCCCATCCTCTCTTGACCTCCCATCCTCTCTTGACCTCCCATCCTCTCTTGACCTCCCATCCCCTCTTGACCTCCCATCCCCTCTTGACCTCCCATCCCCTCTTGACCTCCCATCCCCTCTTGACCTCCCATCCCCTCTTGACCTCCCATCCCCTCTTGACCTCCCATCCCCTCTTGACCTCCCATCCTCTCTTGACCTCCCATCCCCTCTTGACCTCCCATCCTCTCTTGACCTCCCATCCCCTCTTGACCTCCCATCCCCTCTTGACCTCCCATCCCCTCTTGACCTCCCATCCTCTCTTGACCTCCCATCCCCTCTTGACCTCCCATCCTCTCTTGACCTCCCATCCCCTCTTGACCTCCCATCCCCTCTTGACCTCCCATCCCCTCTTGACCTCCCATCCCCTCTTGACCTCCCATCCTCTCTTGACCTCCCATCCCCTCTTGACCTCCCATCCTCTCTTGACCTCCCATCCCCTCTTGACCTCCCATCCCCTCTTGACCTCCCATCCCCTCTTGACCTCCCATCCCCTCTTGACCTCCCATCCCCTCTTGACCTCCCATCCCCTCTTGACCTCCCATCCCCTCTTGACCTCCCATCCCCTCTTGACCTCCCATCCCCTCTTGACCTCCCATCCCCTCTTGACCTCCCATCCCCTCTTGACCTCCCATCCCCTCTTGACCTCCCATCCTCTCTTGACCTCCCATCCCCTCTTGACCTCCCATCCCCTCTTGACCTCCCATCCCCTCTTGACCTCCCATCCCCTCTTGACCTCCCATCCCCTCTTGACCTCCCATCCCCTCTTGACCTCCCATCCCCTCTTGACCTCCCATCCCCTCTTGACCTCCCATCCCCTCTTGACCTCCCATCCCCTCTTGACCTCCCATCCCCTCTTGACCTCCCATCCCCTCTTGACCTCCCATCCCCTCTTGACCTCCCATCCCCTCTTGACCTCCCATCCCCTCTTGACCTCCCATCCCCTCTTGACCTCCCATCCCCTCTTGACCTCCCATCCCCTCTTGACCTCCCATCCCCTCTTGACCTCCCATCCCCTCTTGACCTCCCATCCCCTCTTGACCTCCCATCCCCTCTTGACCTCCCATCCCTCTCTTGACCTCCCATCCCCTCTTGACCTCCCATCCCCTCTTGACCTCCCATCCCCTCTTGACCTCCCATCCCCTCTTGACCTCCCATCCCCTCTTGACCTCCCATCCCCTCTTGACCTCCCATCCCCTCTTGACCTCCCATCCCCTCTTGACCTCCCATCCCCTCTTGACCTCCCATCCCCTCTTGACCTCCCATCCCCTCTTGACCTCCCATCCCCTCTTGACCTCCCATCCCCTCTTGACCTCCCATCCCCTCTTGACCTCCCATCCCCTCTTGACCTCCCATCCCCTCTTGACCTCCCATCCCCTCTTGACCTCCCATCCCCTCTTGACCTCCCATCCCCTCTTGACCTCCCATCCCCTCTTGACCTCCCATCCCCTCTTGACCTCCCATCCCCTCTTGACCTCCCATCCCCTCTTGACCTCCCATCCCCTCTTGACCTCCCATCCCCTCTTGACCTCCCATCCCCTCTTGACCTCCCATCCCCTCTTGACCTCCCATCCCCTCTTGACCTCCCATCCCCTCTTGACCTCCCATCCCCTCTTGACCTCCCATCCCCTCTTGACCTCCCATCCCCTCTTGACCTCCCATCCCCTCTTGACCTCCCATCCCCTCTTGACCTCCCATCCCCTCTTGACCTCCCATCCCCTCTTGACCTCCCATCCCCTCTTGACCTCCCATCCCCTCTTGACCTCCCATCCCCTCTTGACCTCCCATCCCCTCTCTGCCTCGCCTCCCTCCTCACGCCCATCCGTCGTGACCCCTTTCCGCGCAGCTCTAAGAATGTCCGACTTTCGCCCTGAGTTTCGTGCCTCGCTCCTTCCCGTCCAGTCCAGATGCAGATTCTCCCGCCCAGTCTTCCTCACTATCCCGCGTCCCTCTTACACCCTCGTGCTGTGCCAACGAATCAGGTCGTACGGGCTCCCCTACTTTTCAACGTGTCTTACCCGGCGCGTCCACGAGCCAAGCCTCGCCATCGTCACTGTTACTCCTTCCCCCGTAGTTTCGCGCGAGCGTCTATACCTTCTGGTAGGATGCGAGAACCTGGCTTCTAGAATTGCGAGGTCGTCAGCTACACACTATGGATTCTGTGTGTTTCCCCGTCGTCCCAAAATTCCTCAAGACTGAACTCATGCAAATCTGAAACTGGAAGACTCGCTCTCGTAGGAGACTGTTAGATAATACACTTTCTTCGAGTCGCCTGAATTGGAAGCTCCTGCCCACCACTGTGTTACCCTTCTATCTACTATCGTCATCCGAGCCAAACGGGACTAGCAGAAACGCGCCTTCTCGTTTTGCATGCAGAACCAGCAACTGAACAAATGTGGAAGGAGTGGCATGGGAGTGGGCAGCCACGTTTTGAATGTGCTTTTGTACTCCATTCAAGTCGACAACACACGAATTATCTTTATTTGCACACCGTTCAGTCCATGAGGAATTGCCGATATATAAAACTTTTTTGTGCTAGGTACATGTAGTGAAGTTTCAATACAGCAGTTACAAATCATGTGATGAAATACATCACCTGGTAGTTATGCAAAGTCGGGGGGGAGGGACTTAAGCTACTTTGGCCAGCCGATCTTTTTGTTTGCAACTAAAAATTTGTCACATTGCATTAGCACCACCTCTTCTATGGACCTCAAGCCTCCTCACCACCCCCTGTGCCTCCTCCCATCTCATCCCCTCGGCAGCACTCCGCACACCCAGCTGCATCACCCCCCTCTCTCCCCACACCGCATCCAACCTCCTCGCCACCTCCTCCCCCACCACCACCGAAAATACACTATCATATCCCCCTGCTCCCGGCACGCCAGCCATCACCACCCCCGGCTGCTGCATGGTGGCATCCAGCAGGGCCGCCTGCTGGGGGGGTTCGATGGGCACAGCAGCAGCAGCGCCCATGGCTGACAGCAGGCGCCGCACAGAGAGGAAGGAGGCCTGCAGGCCGAGCAGGCCCTGCAGGATGGTCCTGCTAGAGTCTGTAGTACCCTGTGGTGCTGTGGTGGCACCTTGTGAGTTGCTGTTGATGCTGTCACCCTGTGGCACCAGGTCCGCAGGTGAGTGTGGAGGCAGCACGGTTGCTGCGTTGAGAGGCACGTGCTGCAGGTGATCTAGAGTGGCGGTGAATGCATGCGGGTGGGCGAGGGCGAGGTGGGAGAGGTGCGAGAGAGCAGCACCTACAGCCGCATTGGCCTCCCTGAGACCCTCCCAAATGGGCTGCCCTTCCCCCGGTGACTGCTGCCGCCAACTGGGGGGTAGATGGGGGGAAGGGGAGAAGATACTTAGGGCACACGTGATCCAGAGAGAGCATGGAGTGGTGAGGGACTGCAGAGCATAAGGGTGATAGGCATGACAGACGGGTGGTAACCTGGGAAGACGGCCGGCTGAGTGCGTGCACCGATAGAGGTGGGACACACATTACAAGTGAACTCGTGACAGCGAAGGCTGATACTGACCGCATGACAGCGAAGGCTGATACTGACCGCGTGACAGCGAAGGCTGATACTGACCGCATGACAGCGAAGGCTGATACTGACCGCATGACAGCGAAGGCTGATACTGACCGCATGACAGCGAAGGCTGATACTGACCGCGTGACAGCGAAGGCTGATACTGACCGCATGACAGCGAAGGCTGATACTGACCGCATGACAGCGAAGGCTGATACTGACCGCATGACAGCGAAGGCTGATACTGACCGCATGACAGCGAAGGCTGATACTGATCGCATGACAGCGAAGGCTGATACTGACCGCATGACAGCGAAGGCTGATACTGACCGCATGACAGCGAAGGCTGATACTGATCGCATGACAGCGAAGGCTGATACTGACCGCATGACAGCGAAGGCTGATACTGACCGCATGACAGCGAAGGCTGATACTGACCGCATGACAGCGAAGGCTGATACTGACCGCATGACAGCGAAGGCTGATACTGACCGCATGACAGCGAAGGCTGATACTGACCGCATGACAGCGAAGGCTGATACTGACCGCATGACAGCTGAGAGCATGGAGGGCGTGGCTGTGCCTCCTGTGCCCGGCTCCCCCAGCACCTGCCAAGCAAGCACATGTGCGGGTGGCACGTGAGGAGGTCATGACATGGGCACGAGGGGCAGGGGATAAAGGATGTTCAAACAGCCAAGGGACAGAATGGTAGGGGTGGGTGGAGGGGAGAACGGGAGAGTTTAAGGGCGGCATACCAAGAGGAGACCCGGTGGGAGGTGCAGAGGGGAGATGGTGTGATCCCAGAGAGGTGATTGCAGCGTGGCTGATATGCTGCTCGCTGTCATGGCGGCCTCTGCTCCCTGCACCAACCCCACATTGCACAGGAGAGCACATAAGTCAGGCAATGCCACAGAAGTTCAAGAGCGTCAACGAACCTGCAGACACTTCTCCAATCATCCCCTGACCACCGACCATGAGCGTGCATCCCCAGACCACCCACCATGAGCGAGTGCATGGCGGCGGGGTTGAAGCGCTGGTAGCAGATGGAGCCAAACACGCCCGCAGCCACGTCAAAGCCGCTACCCGCCTTGCCCTGCGCCAGGCAGTGCGCCACCTGCGCCACCCGGTGCACAACCTCCCAAGAGGACAGACCCCGCTTCTGAGACACCGACGCCACAGTCTGCTGCTGAGAAGACAGGGCTGGGGCAGCAGAGAATCTGGCCCCAATGTCTCCCTTCTCATCCGGCCCTCTCTCTGGACTCTCATCCGCCACAGTCCCCGTCTCCGCAATGACGCCAAGGAAGCGCAGCAGGGCGGCGGAGACAGCAGCCGTCATGGCAGCAGAGGACCCCAGCCCTGTCTTCGCCACCTCTGGCACATGGCCTCGTGTCGTCTCTGCTGCATCGCCGCTCACGGCTTCCGGTGCTGATGTTGCTGATGCGCCCGCGGTTGCGGAATCGCCTTCTGCTGCGGGTGTGTCTGGGGCTGCTGGTGCGGCAGGATGGTGGAGAGATGGAGAGTTGCTGACGATGGGGGCGAAGGGGGGGATGCGGGAGAGGGAGGACGCCGAGAGAGGCAGGCCCAGCCGTTGCAGCTGCACGGGTATGCATGCACAGAAATGGGGGGGTACGCATGAGGGGGTGGAACATTGACGATTATGATTGAGATCGATGTGAATTCCAACGGGAGCACAACAGCGGCAACTGTAAGCAGCATTCAGTGTGGCGCTAGCATACAGTGTGGCGGTGGGAGTATACGGGAGGGGCAGAATACGGGGCGGAGTATGGAGTAGGGAGGCCATTATACAGTGTGGCGGTGGGAGTAGAAGTCGTTGTCTCCAGCGATGGTGATGCGCACTCCTGCGCTTGCCAGCCGTTGCTTCACCCGCCGCTTCTCCCCTGTTCCGCCCCGTCCGTCCCGTCCGTCCCGTCCGTCCCTTCCGTCCCTTCCGTCCCTTCCGTCCCTGTCCATCGCCCCCAGCGCAGCCCCCACAGCAACCTGCACTACCCGCTCCACGTAAGGGTTGCCTGAAACCACGTGCAAGCTGCCGCCATCGCCTTTCCCTTCCTGACCGATGCAGCCAATCCTAGATGCGTCGTCACCTTCCCTGCACGGACATCAGGGGAGAATGGACCTTGGGAATGCAGCCAAGGAATAGCGCAGAGCTACGCGCAAATTGCATGCTTAGCAATGTCGTGAAGCAATGAAGACCGCAGTGTGTTGTGCGGCTGAAAACGGCATTTACGGCTTCGGGCCGGACGGCATTCACCTCCAATTGCTGATGGCGAGGTCTGCAAGCGACAGGTCGAAGCAGTAGCAGCTGCCTCGTTGCGGTGAGTCCACGCAAACAGTCATCGAGCTCTCTCTGTGCTCAGCTGCTGCCTCGGATGCTGCAGTTCCCCTAACCTGCTCCTCGCTCTCTGCGACTAACGGCTGCGCAATGGCATAAAACCGCGCGTTCGTGGCGAGTACGAGGCCCGGATTAGGCGGCTCTACGACAAGGTACGCTCCGACAAGAAGTACCTTGCCCGGAGCCGAGGCGGCTACAGCTGTATCCAACGCCATTGCAACACCGCCGTTTGATTCGATGGTTAGAACAGTCGGTTCTAATCCTAAATTTTCAGCCTTCGAGCTTCAGATATTACTGCTGGTCAACGCTGATATCGAGGCAGCTTCGAGCATATCCAGTCTTGGAACACAGAATTTCACTGACGGTGGGTTGGTGACAGGAGGGGCGCATTCGGTGGCGGTTGAGCACTAAATGGATCACTGGGTGACCAGCTAATATCACCGTACAAACATAAACATTATCGAAATAGACTGAACTTACGCAACGCATCAGGTATGACCTTTACATTGTAGATCTGAAGTGATCATAGCTAGTTGCTGTAGCTCAGCATTAAAGATGCATGCAACTCATACGGTAACAAAAACGGGTGCTATGCAATGTGGGGTGTGGGGTCCAAATAAGCAGACCACCTAGCTACAGCTTGAGGGCAATGGCAAGGCCAACCTTGCCTGACTTATCAAGAGCCTTGGAGTCAACCTCTCCTGCAATGGTGACCTTGGACTTGGGCCGGAACTCGTGCTGGAGGAGGGCAGCAACTGTTCCACGGTTGTTGAACCTGAGCTTGGCCTCTGTGAGGGGATCGAGCTCGAAGGAAGCACCTGCTGTGAAGGTAGTGTCGCTCTTGGAGAGTTTGTGAGCTGCCTCAACAGCAACCTCAACGTCCTTCTTCACCTTTTGGAAGTATGCAGCCTTCAGCGTGTCCAGCTTGTCAGCACTGCAGCACAGAGTGAGGGTTCAGTCACCCACTGACAGGCTTAGTCACCCACTAGCATGGTGAAAGATCCCTGGGAAAAATGAGTGGGTAGAACGGACTTACATCAACAAGGAAGCAGCGAAGTCGGATTCGGAGTAAGCCACGCCAAGGTTGTACTTGGTCGCGCTGTTAGTGGCAGTGTCGTAGCCGACCTCAGCACCAACGACCACTCCCTTGGTTCCGACAGCAAGAGCACCCTCGAAAACGGGTTGTGTAACAAGACCCACGGAGGCGCTCACGTTAACCAACTCTTGCTTGTAGGTCAGCTCTGCCTGCAAAACCCCGAAGTGATGATTTCATGCGATTTTCGAAAGTGAATCGCAACAGCAAAGGAAGATCAAATCCTTGTGCGAAAACACACATTGAGTGCTGATCGCGGTTCAGTCACTCACCTTGGTGGCCTTCGAGTCCGGAACAATTCCAGTCAGGGCAAGCTTCAGGCCAGGAGCAAGGTCCTCGTACACGGCCTTAAAATAAAGCTGAAACACAGGGGAAAGTCATGTCGTCACATCTCACATTGTTAACCAGTGACGATTGCTGATGCACATTATCCTCTTACACCACGTACCTTGGATTTCGTATCAAGCTTGAACTCTGCCTCAACGTTTCCGACCTCGATCTCAGTCTTCACATCGCACGAGACCTCGTCTCCCTTCTTCACTGATGCAGTTTGAAACTTCTGCATTTTCGATAAAAAGTATCATTAGCACTACTGGATCTTGTCCTGTCTATATATAATCCGCTGCTATATAACTCACCAATCCTGAATCAGTCTTTGTGGAGATGTTGATGCTGTGATCGTAAGCGTAGTGCTTGAAAAGAAGCTCTGCTCAAGATCCATGAGAGCCCGATCAGAACACAAATACGACGTGCTTAAGTACCGACTACTCAGTCGACAGTAAAGACAGCGGTCTTACCCTTGGCCTTCTTGCCAATGTCAGAGAAGGAACCAGGACCCTTTCCCATGGCGGTCGAGACGCGTTACGATGAGGAGAGAAGTTACTGCTAGGGTTGGGCCCTGAAAGCAGGAGCACCAGAGAAGGGAGGAGAGGCGTGAAACTGGTTTGCTGCAGCAAAAAAAGAACTCGGATGCTGGAAGAAGACGTGGAGGGGGAGGAAGAATCTACGCAACGTGGCGGAGATATTGATGAGGGGGGGATGCTGGCTTTCCCTCACTTGAATCACACAAAAATCGTGGTCCCCAAAGTCAACCCCCCTACCCGAACAAAATGCATGTTATTTGTAGAAAAACGAAAGCACATCAGCTGTACAGAAATCCAGCAAGTTTCTCTTTTGACAATCCGAAGTGTGTTCTTAGCGAAACGCATCAGGGTCCACAGCGCTGATTTTGCCGCTCTTCCAAAGGCAGAGCTGTCAGATGTTCTGTTCGTCTGATGGTTGCTGTTCCTTCTTGCTCCTGGGATCCATGTCTCAGCGGATACTTCTTCGAGAGAAACTGAGTGCATGGTTTGCCTGGGAGCTCTCCCTTCGTAGAGAGGTCTGAGCTCTCGTATTCTTGGTGTTACGAGCATATCTTCCTATCCCCGTAATGCGGCAGTTTGTATACATGATTTCCTATCCTCGTTATGCCGGACTCCTTTAGCTTGGATTCATGGAACAGCTCAAACTCTGCCATGCACATGCACTGTGATCGGAGCGTTGTACGCCAGGATAGTTCAAATCTTAGGTTACGGTTCATAGTTCCTAGATTAGATGGAGTGCAATAGAGAAGACGCGACGAAGGCCAAGGAGCTAGCCGAAGCGGCTCTCACCAGCGGCGATTACGCCAAGGCTCGTCGCCTAGTAACAAAAGCGCACCGCCTCTTCCCTTCTCTCGACGGACTCACGCAGGTCGCAGCGGTGGTCGAAGTCTACGAAGCTTCGCAGAACCGCGTCGGCGGTGACGTGGACTGGTACGCGCTTCTCCAGATTCCCGCGTTCTGCGATGACGAGACTGCGATCAAGAAGGCGTACCGCCGCATGGCGCTGCTGCTGCACCCTGACAAGAACAAGACCAGCGGCGCGGAAGCGGCGTTCAAGCTGCTGTCAGAGGCGTTCACTGTGCTGTCGGACAAACAGAAGAAGGCCGTGCACGACGCCAAGCGACGACTGAATGTCACCACAGGCCGAGCAGGAGCAGGAGCAGGAGCAGCAGCAGGATCAGCAGCAACAGCTGGTGTGAATTCCTCAAGGACTCAACAGAAAGCACCAGCAGCAGCGAAACCCCAGCCTGCAGCAGCTAGAGCAGGAGGGGGAGGAGCAGCAGGTGCGGGTGGACAGGGAACGGGGAATCAATTCGAGACGCGGTGTCCGACGTGCGGGACGCGTTTCTTGTGCTTGCGGGACGCCATGGCGGTCGTTGTACAGTGCATCATCTGCAAGAGCTCGTTCAAAGCTATGCCTGCCGCACCTGCTACTGCATCAGCTTCTAACGCGTCTGCTGCTGGCAATGCAACTGGCGCAGCTGGTAGGCAAAACGGCAGGGTGCCGCAACCACAGGCACAGTCACACGCACAGGCACACGCACAAGCACAGGCTCAGGCACAAGCACAAGCACAGGCGCAGGCAGTAAGGCAGGCACAAGCACAGGCGAGGAGTGCACCCCAACAACCCAACTTCATGGCAAACGGCGGTGTGCACTACGGCATGCCAGCCACCTATAGCTCCACGCACTCCACTGCCAGCGCCGCTGCCGCCATGGCAGCAGCTGCAGCCGCGCAGGCCGCTGCTGTTGCGGAGTCCCTGAGGAACACGGGGGGAGGCGCGGCTGCTGCTGCTGCAGCGGCTGGGGATGCTGCTGCTGCTGCTGCAGCTGCAGCTGCTGCAATTGCAGGGCAGTTTGGGGGGGTCAGAGGTGGGGGGGGCTTCCCTGGTGCTGCTAGCTTCTCATCGTTTTCGTTTTCGACGGATAGTGGAGCGGCGTATGGCAGTCAACAGTGGCAACAGCAGCAGCAGCAACAGCAGCAACAACAGCACCAGCAGCAACAGCAATACCAGCAACAGCAGCAACAACAACAACGGCTTCAGCAGCAGCAGGAGCAACTGCGGCGGCAACAGCAGCTGCAGCAGCAGCAACTGGAGGAGCAGCGGCGGCTCCAGCAGCAGCAGCAGCAACAGCAGGAGGCGCAGAGGCGGCAGCAGCAGCTGCAGCGGGAGCAGCATGAGCGAATGCGAGCAGCCATGGAGGCTGGTGCGGCTGAGAGAGGCAGGCAGCAATGCGGTCAGCAGGGGGGCTTGGAAGAGGCGTTGAGGGCCAAGGCGGAGGAGGAGAGGGCGCAGAGAGAGAGAGTGGCGGAGGCGATGCGGCAAGAGCAGGAGAGGGCGCAGGTGAGGCGGCAGATGCAGATGGACGAGCTGCTGGCGCGCAGGCGACAGCAGCAGGCTAAAGCTGCTGCTGCTTCGGGTGCTGCTGGTGGTGCTGGAAATGGCATGGCTGGAGGGCAACCAGCAGCACCGGCAGCAGCAGGTGGGCCAAGTGAGCGGGGCGGTGGGCAGCAGGCAGGGCGGAGGAACAGGTTGCGGAAGAGGAAGCAGGGGGGAGGGCGAGGGGGCGGAGCGAGCAGTGATGAGGACGAGGAGTATGACTTCAGACTAGATGCGGACGATGATGGAGATGACGAGGGGCTGCCGGTGGGCAGGGAGGGGTGGGATGCAGCAGCAGGGCAAGCACAGGGAGGGGTAGGAGAAGAGGAGGAGGTGCTGGGAGCAGCAATGAGGAGGTCGATGCGCAGCAGGAAGCACGTGGTGTACCACGTGGGAGACGACAACGATGATGATGTCATGGAGGTGACCGAGGCCGAGGTGGTGATGAAGGAGGTCAATGGGACTGCCGCGGGGGGCGATCAGTCCAGAAGAGCAAGGGCTGAAAAGGGCTCCGCAGCGGGGATTGATAAGAGCAAGGGCTCTGGGGTTGATGGGAGCACTGGGCTGGCTGGAGATGCCCTGAGGAAAGCGCAAAGGGAGGGGGGTCTGCGGACGCAGCAAAGGAGGGGAAACAAAGGCCAGCAAGCCACGTGGCAGGGAAGCAAGGGGGGAGGAGTGGTGGGAGGCGAGAGGAAGGGGAGCAGGAGAACATGGATGTGGACGTGCCGCTGAAGGGCGTGAATGGCAGCAGTGGCGTGAAGATAAACGGGTTTGTGCTCGAGGAGGTGGTGGAGCTCATATCGTCGGATGAAGAGGATGAGGGAGACAGGGGGCAGGGCGAGGCGGAGGAGAGTGATGAGGAGGGGGAGGATGCGCAGCGCTTCTCTGTACCCGATCCCGACTTCCACTGCTTTGACGACGACCGCACGGAGGGAGCTTTCCAACAAGGAGATGTGAGTCCCATTGCATGCGACAGACAGTACGGCATGCACATGCGTTCCACCCCATTGGCGCCTCCCTTCCCTGGCTTCTGAGCTTGTTCCAATCTCCTGAGACGATGCACTGACTCGTAATGTTTCGTGGTTTCCCGCTCTGCCATGGCTTTCTGCTCCCATTCGCCCCTCAACCCCACCAGGTGTGGACCCTCTACGACGACTCTGACGGCTTCCCCCGCTTCCTCTGCGCCATCCGCCAAGTCTTCCACTCACCCTTCTCCTGCAGCGTCGTCTGGCTCGAGCCCGCTGCTCTTTCCAAGAAGCGCACCGTGGCCTCCTCTGCCCTCACGCAGACAGAGGCTGCAGCTGCTCTGGCGGACCCGGCAGAGAGGGCTGAGCCCAGCATCGGCTACTTCAAGTTCGGCTCCCCGACAGTACTAGAATCAGTCAACACCTTCTCCTTCCGGATATCCAAACTGGTTACCCCGAACGCGCGCACAGTTACGGTTCTGCCGGAGATAGGGCAGGTGTGGGCACTGTATGCAGACAGGTCGTATAAGCAGCGGAAGTACTATCTGGTGGAGGTGATACCTGCCGAGTCATCCATACCGCTGCCGAATGACCCCACAGCCGCGTCGGCAGGAGTGAATGCGATCACAGGGAGAGGGTGGAGGGCTGTGTGGTTCCTACAGAGGGTCCCTGGCGGGGTGTTCACCTCGCTTTACGAGGTATGTTTGCGTGGGCTAGTGCATGCGTGTGGGCATGGATTGGTCTCAAACTTCAGCTTGATGCTAGTCGTCCTTTTTTTTGGGCGCACAGTACCGTTGCTACTGCTTCTCTCTCATCTCAGTATCTCATTCCGTTTCCCTGCCATTCGTACTGCTCTCTGCAGAGAATTCCTTCGGGCACACGCTACGTTCGACTCAACAGCTTTTCCCACCTTGTTCCCTGCTACCACCCGCAAGGCACCGAGAGCAGCCCTAAGAGACTACCACCTCCCCCCCGTGGTGCCGTGGAATTAGATCCAGCCGCCACCCCCTCCAATCTTGCCTCATTTCCTCCTCCTCCAGACCTGTGACATAGGGGGCACAGGTGTGCCCTCAGTAGCAATAAATGTGACCAAGAGTCACTGCCTTCATTGTGTACTAATGATTATACCCCACATGTAACAAGCTTCTAACAAGCTGTTCATACCATGAAGAACTCACGAAAAACCAGCCATGAGGAAAAGAAAACGGGTGTCGTGCTATAGGTACGTCCACAAAGAAATGTGGCGTAAAACCTCAATTATGATGTCCTGGATCTGCATTGTATGCTAAAGACCAAGTGCCTATACAGATGTTTCATCTCATGAAGTTTTACTGTGTTATTATCATATTCGTCAATGTCAAGGGCCTCGGCCTTGCTTCTGTCTGGAGGCCGAGCCGCTTTGCTCGCAATTTTCAAGGGGAAAGCCCCTCTTGCTGCTCTTGGCAGATGGTCAGCAGAAACCAGCGGGAATGAGAGAGCCTGCATAAGCTTGTGTCAGGCTGACAGCTCTGTCGCCATTTCTCTGACAGCCGCCGTTTCCCCTTCGTCGAACTTGGTCCGCCACTTACCGCTCCGTTGATGTCTCGACCATCATCTATTGACTCCTCTATATTAATCGAGATTCACGAACCTTTGAGCTCGTATTCTGCCGCAGCTCCAATTCTGCGAAGTGTCACGTTCACGCCATCCTCTAACGCGCTCTCGCTGACCAACGGTCGGACTCTCTTCCATCATGGCTCCAATCAACACTCCCTCTAGCATGGCGATTATTCATTGCAGCGCAAGTCCGAAGAACAAGTTCGGGAGGGGCTTCAGGTACTGATTCCGCTTAGACTTTCCGTCACATCCTGCAATCAGCTACTGATATACGTTCGCTGCTGATTTCAGAGAGTACGACGAGGATAACGAGAGGAATACCATGGTGGAGAACGTCTACCACCTCAACCATTCCCAGCAGACTCTCGGATTTGTAAGTCTTGGTGCGCGTTCAACCTGCTTTTGTACTACAAAAGTAGTACTTCACGCATCACGCGTCGGCGAATTCTAAGCGCGTTGGTTGTGTGCTTGATGTTGATTCAGGTGCTCGCGATGAAGGAAAGGCATCTGAAGCTGGACAAGACCGAGATGGGGGTGTGGGAGGCGGCAGAGCTGCTGAACGAGCTGGTGGACCACAGCGATCCCGACCTGGATATGGCGCAGATCGAGCACGCCTTGCAGGCAGCGGAGGCAATTAGAAGGGACCACCCGAGCGAGGAAGAAGACTGGTACCCGCTTGTTGGGTTCCTTCATGGTAATCTTCCCTTCGTGCTGGCATGTTGGATTACTCTGACCGTCAAACGTTCGTTTCTGACAGTTCGTTGCTGCTTCTGTTTCAGATCTTGGAAAGGTTCTCCTCCACCCGAAGTTCGGCAGCGAACCCCAGTGGGCTGTCGTTGGTAAGTCATGTCGTTTTCAAGACATTCAGCAAGTTTTAGCATCGCTTGGTTACTAAGAAAACCCCTTTGATTTCAATGCAGGCGACACATTTCCTGTTGGCTGCCGGTTCAGCAACAAGATCGTCCACTCAAAGGTTGGAGAACCCGATTTGTTTTTTGCCTGGTCATGGTTGTGAACGCCTAGACGCTGACGCTCATGCTTTTGTCTTCCTCCTGCAGTTCTTCAACAGTAATCCAGATTCCTCGGTGGAAGATCTGAGCACAGCATGCGGTATTTATGAGGAAGGCTGTGGCATGGACAAGGTCCACATGTCTTGGGGTCATGATGAGTACATGTGAGTGGCAAATCCATTCGTCTTGCATACTAGCGGTGTTCTATCCCTCAAATCAGTAAACAAGTTTTTCTGTGGTTCTTCTGCAGGTATCAAGTCCTTATTCAAAACGGGTGCAGCATTCCACCTCAGGGCCTCTACATGATCCGCTACCACTCGTTCTACGGTAGGTGTAGTGCGCCTCTTGACGTGCTTTGACGTGTTTGTCTGGCAATATATTTTCATGATGTCTGACAACCATGTTATGCAGCACTCCACAGAGACGAGGAGTACCAACACCTGATGGACGTCTCTGATTGGGAGATGCTTCCATGGCTCAAGGACTTCAAGTAAGCTCGTCCTTAAATTTATGATTCTGACGCTCATTAGCATGGACGCTTCAGGACCTAATGATGCTGCTTTTCTCCATCCTCAGCAAGTACGACCTGTACAGCAAGAGTGCTCAGCACTTCAGCGTGGAGGAGCTCAAGCCCTACTACCAAGGGCTCATTGCCAAGGTATGGTCACTGGTCAGTCGAGCAACATGTGGCTGATGGTTTCGGAGACTTCAGGCGGCCAGATTTGAACTAATTGCTCTCTGTTTGCTCTGCAGTACATCCCTATGGCAACTCTCAAGTGGTGAAGCCAGTACCAGAGCATCCCTAAGGCTACTAGCTGGCAACTCTAGTTTACGAGGTGGTTTCACTGGGCCAAGGCTCCCTCACTAGAGCAGAGGGAACTCCTAAGGTGTATCAGGCATAGACGTTGTAGGAGCAGGCTAGGTTCTGTAAAAGCAGGAATGATTATACGTCATCATCAGTTCATAAAATTGGACAACAGCAGCAGAACGGAGCTACCAATATCTCAAACACGCAGCTGAAGGAGCAAGGGATGCGGAGACACATGACCTGCTCCCAGTGCAGGACTCGGGCCATCTGTTCTCCTTTCCCACTCCATCAACACATACCTCAATCAATCTGCCATACCACATTCCCATGCAGGATTCAAACACACGCCAGGCCAGCAGCACAAGACACAAAACAACCAGGGCAGGCAGGAGGAGATGGTCCATCCCAGCACTACATGTGGTGGCATCCCAAGCAATCATCAGAGGATCCAGCAGGCAGTGAAATGCGCAAGGACGGACAAGTCGACCATAGCTCTCCAGCCACAGAAGACAAAGGACAAGATGGCATGAGCTGCCTTGCCTTGTGCGTTTACTGGCTTGCTGATGCCTGGCTGGTGCATGGTCCAATGATGGAGATGAGAAGCCCCCACATCAGAGGTGTCTGGCTGTGTTGATCTGAAGGTCAAGATATGGCCTGCATTGGCTGACACTTCCCCAAAGATCATGCACATCCCAGGCACACAGCAGAAGCACACATGCACAGGCATGAAATGCACACTCATGAACAATCATGCATATTGATGCGCATCCATTCATGAAGTGCCTCATGCTATGACAAGCACCCACATGCCATACCACACATATCCTTCCAGTACAGCTCCAGGGGCTTTAAGTGAGAAGGGCCTGCCATTCCAATCCAAACCAGCCCATTTTCAAGCCCCTCCCCCCAAATGCCACCCAGAGAGCAGCTCTGAGTAAGGCAATGGCAGACAGTCTTCAAAAACATGTTGCAGCAGCAGACGCAGAAGAAGCAGCAGTAGCAGCGGCAGGAGCAGCAGCAGCAGGAACGAAATGGAGAGCGAAGACCAGAAGGTCCTTCAGTGTGAGGCTGCAGCAGAATGGCTCTCCGTGGAAGAGCAAGTCCCAGAGATGAGTCAACTCAGGTGCTGCGAGAGGGGGAGTCATCATCGGATGCCGTGCGGCGACTGCCCCGCTGCTTCCCACTGCTCCGGCGCTCCTTTCCCTCATCCTCGTCACGGCCATCCTTGCCCTTGCCATGGTCGGGCGAGAGGGAAGGGGAGCGACGCCTGCAGTGAACCAAACAAGGAAAAGATGTTAAGGCAGTGTTCCTTGTTCCAAGAGAACAGAGCAGAAAATGAGTGGTAAGGTCATAGCATTGAGAAAGACAACCTAACACAACACACCTGGAGCGATGGCTGCGGCTGTGGCGCTTCTTCTCCCTGGATGACCGCCCCTTCTCGTCATCAGAGTCATCTCGCCCCGACCTCCTCCTGCTCGGCCTCCCACCCTTCTCATCCTCCTCCTCATCCTCATCAGACCCTCGGTCCTTCCTCTTTCCCCCACGACCACTCCCCTTCCTGCCCCCATCGTCCCTCTCCTCCTCATCAGACGACCTCTTGCCTCCCTCCTCTTCGTCCTCATCCTCGTCCCGGTGGCTGCGCCTGCGCTTGTGGCTCTTCTTGCTCCTCCTGCTGTGCCGGTGCCGCCTCTCCTCCTCGTCCTCCTCACTCTCCTCATCCTCATCACTGTGGTGCAAGAAGGTAAGAAGACGGCACCAGAGTAGGAAATCATACGCCGGCTAAGTTAACACGGGACACAGGGGGGGGGGGGGGGTCCAGGAAACAATGCGAAAAGTGCAAACACCAGCCACAAACCCATCTGCAAAAAACCGGTTACCCGGCCTCATGCCAAAGGCTTCCCACTTACTGGTTCTTTCTGCGGCGGTGCTTCCTCCTCTTCTCCTTGTGCCTCTCGCTCTCCTTCTTCCTGCTCCTCCTCTCCTTCTCATCTTCATCCTCCTCCTCCTCTTCCTCTCCTCCCTTCTTCACTGCCACCTCTTCCTCCAACCCTCCCTTGCTCCCATTCTCAACCACCTTCTCCTCTTCACTCTCATCCCTCTCCTTCTCCCTCACCTTTTCCTTTTCCTCCTCATTCTCAACCCTCTCTTTCTTCCCCTCCTTTTCCTTCTCTTCATCACTCTCATCGCTCCCCCTCTTCCTCTCCTTTTCCTTCTCATCTTCGCTCCCATCCCTTTCCTTCTCGCTCTCCTTCTCCTCATCACTATCCTTCCCCGTCTCCTTATCCTTCTCCCCCACCTCCTCATCCACTTCAATCTTCTTGGTTCTCGCTCCCTCACCCTCACTCGCCTCATCCTCTTGCTTCCTTTCTTTTTCGCTGTCCTCACTTTCTGCGGGCCGCAATTTCGACTCCTTCTCCTCGCTATTTTCTTTCTCCTCTTTCTCGGGCTTTCCCCTCTCTTCGCTCCCACTGCGCCCTTCCTCCTCCTCTTCTTCCTCCTCCTCCACTCTCCCCTTCCTCTTACCCCCGTCGTCCCTTTCCGAACGCTCACTATCTTCGTCCTCCTCCCGACCTCCCTTCCTCTCGCCCCGCTCTTCCTTCTCTTCCTTCTTCCCCTTCTTTTCCTCCTCCTCCTCCTCCTCCTCCTCCTCCTCCTCCTCCTCCTCCTCCTCCTCCTCCTCCTCCTCTTTCTCCTCGCTCTCCTCCGTCGCCCCTCGCCTGCTCTCCGCCTCGCGCCTCTGCCGCTGCAGCTTATCGCGCAGCAGCTTCTCCCTCAACTCCTTCTCCCGCCGCTCCGCCTCCCTCCTCCCACCCCTCCCCTTCTCCCTCTCCTCCTCCTCTTCCTCCTCATCCTCACTCTCCTCCCTCGCGCCCTTCCCCCTCCCCTTCCTCGCAGCCTGCCTCCTCCTCTCCCCCTCGTCTCCCGCACTTTCCTCCTCGGAATCCCGCTCGTCCCGCCCACGTCCCCTCTTTTTCTCCACCCTCTCTTCCTCCTCCTCCTCGTCCGACTCGTACCTGCCCTTGTACCTCTCCTCCTCCTCGATCCTGCCCCCACCGCGTCTTGCCTCGTACCTCTCATCGTCATCCTCCCGATCCCTGTCCTTGTCTCTTCCGCGCTCTCTCCCTCTCTCTCTCTCCCGCTCCTTTTCCCGTTCCCTCGCCCTCTCCCTCTCCCGCTCCTTCTCCCTCTCCCTCTCCCTCGCTCGATCCCTCTCTCGTTCTCTCTCCCGTTCCCTCTCGCGCGCCCGCTGCAACTCCTTCTCTCTCTCCCTCTGCCTATCCCTCTCGATCTTCCTCTCCCTCTCCCGCTCTCTCTCCCTCTCCTTCTCCTTATCCTCCGCCTCCCAATCCCGCGTCCTGCTGTACTTATACGAGTGATTATGCCCGCGGTCCCGCCAACCATACCCCCTCTCGCGGCTCCTGCTTCGGAATCGTCGATCCCGCTCGCGCGATCGCGACCGTCCGCGGTAGCGCGGAGAGCGGGAGCGCGACCGCCCGCGGTGGCGGTCGCGGCGGGAGGGGGATCGCGAGCGCGAGCGCGACGACGAGCGTGACCTGTCCGACCCGCTCCCGTCCTTCGCCTTCCCGTCTCCCTCCTTCCCCTCCTTCTCCTTCCCCGCCCCGCCCGCGGCGATCGCGCGGCTGATCTCCTTGGCGCGGCGGGCGGCGAGCTCCGCCTTGGTCTTGGCTTCCGAGCTGCGCACCTGCTGCGCCAGAGCCTGCTGCATGGCGAGCGCCTGTTGGAACTGCATGAACGGCATCGCCACGGCCTGCTGCATCGCCATCTGCGACGTCGCAGCCGCCGTCGCAGGCGCTGCGACGGGCGCGGGCGCGGGGGCAGCGGGCGCGGGTGCGGGCGCGGGCGGAGCGAGCGCGGAGAGGACCGCCTGGCGCGTGGCCTTGGCGGTTTTGGCGAGCTCGACTTTGAGCTGCTTGTCGCCCACCGCCATGTTGTTCAGCGCCAGCGCTGCTTTCGCCTCGTCAGCTTTCGCGAAGCGGATGTGCGCGACGGTTTTCTTGTCGTTGCGAAACTCGCAGCGGGTAACCGTGCCGCAGAAGGCGAAGAGCTGGCGGAGCTGCTCGGGCGTGAGGATGGTGCTGACGTTGGTGACGTGCATCGTCCGCTCCAACTCGTCCTCGTCCATCGCCGCTGCGCACAAACGGGACGGCAGGCGGGCAAAGAAAGAAAGAAAGAAAGAAAAAAGCAACAAAAGCAACAAAAGCAGCACAAAATGATCGCGAGCGCATGGCGTTAGGGAAGACAGAGAGCACCGAAGGAATGGCGAGGAGGGACGAGAGCAGTACGAGTGACAGGGAAAACCACGGGGCGTGCAGCGAACGAGGGACGATGCAAAATGCAGCAGGACACAAGCAGCACGAAGAGTGCGAAGGCTGGTAACGCACACACACACACGACCGGCGGCACGTACAGTAGTAGTCGTCCACGTATTCGCTCTTCTGCTGCAGCAGCTTCTGCTGCTGAATCGCCGCGGCCGCCGCCGCAGCTTGCGCCTGCGCCTGAGCCTGCGCTTGTGCTTGCGCTTGGGCGTGCGCCTGCGCTTGCGCCTGCGCCTGCGCATGAGCATGCGCTTGTTGCGCCTGCTGCGCCTGCATGGCCTGCACCGCCATGATGCTCTGCGCCGCCGCCATCGCCGCCGCCGAGGGCGCAAGCGGCATGTTCGTCAGCCCTCCTGCGGCACGTCAGGGAGGATGAAGACGGAATTGTTTTCTAGATCAGCGACGCGAAATAGAATAGTATTTAAGCCCCAAAAAATAACTTATGGATATTGCGTAGAACGCAGATGGAACCGTGCGCGAAACGCAGAGCAGATCTGATCAGACACGAGTCGTCGGCAGCCGGCCAGTCTCTCACCGGTTCCAGGAAGCACGCCGCCCGCCATGCCGGGGTAGGGGCTGGTGAAGGGCATGCCGCCCATCGTGGGCAGCAGCCCGCGGAACTGCATCGCCGCCATCAGCGGGTTCGGCAGCCCCGGCGCCGGCATCTGCGGCGTCGGCAGCTGCGGGGTCGGCATCGTTGGCGTAGGCATCAGCGGCGGCGCCGGCGTCGGGTTGACGGCGGCGACAGCCGGCGCTGACGGCTGTTGACCGGCTGTAGCGGCGCTGAAGAAGACGGGGAAGGGGCTGCCCATGATGGGGCTGCCGTTGACCTGCGCGTTGACCGTGTAATCGCCTCGGTGCTGCACGGTGTAGCTCGCCGTGTACGACCCGTCGCCGTGGTCCTTAATCGCCGCCACCTGCTCCTGCCCCGGCACGCCCGCCTTCGGCGTCACCCGCACCGTCACCTGCGCTCCGCCCGTTAAGATCCGCCGCCCGTCCTCGTCCTTGACGACTATAACGAACGACACTGGCGCGCCCGCAGATCCGCCGCCCACGCCCGATCCTGCGGCGGAGCACTTGGCGGGGCAGACCGGCCCGATCGGCTTCTTCGCGAGTCGCGCCGCTTCGTCCTCCTCCTCGTCGCTGCTATCGGTATCGTCGTCTGCGCCTCCTGCGCCGGCCTTGGCGGCCGCGACGGCTGCTGCTCGTGCGGCGTCTGCCTTAGCCTTCTCCTCCTGCTCCTTCATCCATGCCGGCTTCGTTAGCGCGATTCCGCGACCGGCCATGCCCTAGAGAGACGCGCGCATCAGACGAAAACCAAGGCAGCTAGCTAAGTACTGAAAGAAAACAGCTAGATCCAAAGTAGGTAGCTAATTGGGAGGAAATAGGAGATGTGAGGAATTTGACGGGTGAAGGTTGAGCAAGGGGATAAGCACGCCGAAGGTGGCGGAAGCACGTCGCAGCAGTGTTACACCTGCCCGTCGCACGTACGAGATGGCTCGCCTCTGGGCTCTGGGCGAAGGGTGAAAACTTCGCTAAACCCCGCACGAATATGCAAGCCCTTGACGACAGTCGCTACCACATGAAGTGGAAGACTCAAGAGCCTTCTACAGTGCAAGCTGGTGTACGTATTCGGGAAAAATAACCATTTAAAAATTGGTAGAAACGTTTCACAATGGTCAGGTCATAAAGCTCTATAAAGCAGGGTGGTTATGGGCGTCATCCTCCCTATCATCCTTCTCCACTCCGTCAGTCTCATGCGGCATGCTTGACTCGCCCTCATGCCCACCCATTTGCAACCCCTTCATCCATAGTCCTCGAATGCTCTGCCGCCTCTTGATAAACTCCTGGATCAGCAACCAACGGTGGTCCGTCTTCGGCGTATGCCGACGCTGCAGAATCGTCAAGGCGTAGGCACATGGACACATGGAGACACATCGGCACAGGGGCACAAGTACAGCCCACCACTGCGAGCACATCGATGCATAAGAAAGCCTCACGCACATCCACACATCAACGTGCATCCACCATCAACAGACCTGCCCAATCTGTTCCGCAAAGCTTCACAAACAGCGAGGGTCTAGTGACCACGTCTTACCCAGAAAGCCCATCCTCACCCCAAAGACCATCTCACCCGGAGCGCGCGCATGTAGTCGAGGACAGCATCAAACTCCAGCGCCTGGTGCTTCTCCACCAGGTGCTCAAACAGCAGGTCCGCCGCTGCCATGCCGCGCACCTGCTGTCAGAGGGGGAGGGGAGGGGGGGGAAGGGAAGGGAAGGGCGGGACGAGAAGGGAGGTGGGGGGACTGGTGTGTGAGATCGAGCGGGAACGGCAGGTCCGCTGCTGCCATGTGCCGCACCTGACGTGGGTAAAGGAGGAGGATTAAGTGCACGAATGGGGGGCAGCCTAACTGTCACAGCTCCGGCGGTCAGAGCCAAGGGCGTCAAGGAAGGTCAGCAAGATTCCACCTCGAATGTACCCTGCACGGCTACTCGCATGGGTACAGGGCACGGGTACTCACATCGGTGGCAATTGCCTCTTGCAGCAGCTGGCTGCCCTTCTTGCGAGTGAAGTAGAAGCCGTGGGCGAAGAAGAGCGCCTGAGACACACACATGTGCGCAGAGCGCACAAGGGGGAGTGCGCAGGAAGATGCGCGCATGCAATGTCCCATATAAGCACGCAGGCGGTGTTTTGAGTCGACTCAAAATACAGCAGCATGCAGGCTGTGGCAAACACATTATCGTCAGCCCCTGCGCTCAACTAACATGGGCGACGATGCATGAGGGTGGGCGGAGCAGCCTTGGTGGAGGAATGGCGGAAGGGGGCAGCAAGGCAGCGAGCACAGCAAGCGGGGAAGGGCAAGAGGGACGCGATGGGGAGCGATGGGGAGCGATGGGGAGCGATGGGGAGCGATGGGGAGCGATGGGGAGCAAGAGCAACGTGGTGTAGGACACCACGTGCAAAGGAAGATGCGTAGGACGTGGTGGCTGAGAGGGACAGGATGGGGAAGAGAATGAGCGGCGCATGGTTGGGGCGGGCACTGACCAGCAGGCGCAGCGCGAGAGTCATGCCAATGGGGCGCTGGTCCCTCAGACTGAACGAGATGGCTTGCTGCCAGGGATGGCAGGGGATGGCATGGCATGGCATGGCATGGCACGGGGTGAAGGTGGAGGGGAGAGGAGAAAGTCGTTCAGAGAAGAAGGAGGGGGCATCGAATGCCGACAAAAAAAGAGAGCTGCACGGCGTGCCGTAGTACTTGTCTGCTCGCTTGAGTGTGATGCAAGGGGTGACGAGGGTGTGAAGGTGACTTTTGAGTCGACTCAAAAGTCACAAGGGATGGCGAGGGTGTGAAGACCAGAAAGTCGCAGCACCGCTCACCACAAATTGATCGATGTATGGCCGGGCTTGTGCGCCGTAGTACTTGTCTGCTAGCTTGAGCGCCTCTGCCTCATTGTTGGCTAAAAGTTGCACCCTGATGCACACATTCACATTCACATATGCATACAGCACATGCACATTCACGTGCACACACACAGTAGATGAGATGCGGAGTCTAAACGAGGGGCAGAGCGCACCAGTACGGCGCGCAATGGAGCATGGCTCACACAAGGAACACACATGGGCGACGAGCCACCCCGCTCTCTCTGAATGCATCCCCGGCAGCAAGGAAGCACAGCACAGCCATCCCCTCTGCACAGCACAGCATGACAGCGTGGCATGGCAGCATTGACCTGAGGAGGAGCGTCTGCATGGCGGCATCAGGCACGATGCCGCTCTCCTCAATCATCCGCACCAGGCGCACCGCTCCCTGCACACATGTATGCAGCAAGGTGTTGCCAGACACGCACACACACGCACTGCTCTGGGGTGACTACGCGCCCTGTATACACGCTGACAGAGGCAACCCAAACGCAGTGAACACCACTCCCCCCCACCCAACAACCCCCCTTCCCCCCCCTCCCCAGCACCCCACCTGCAGGTGCTGCGCGTCCAGGAACGCCCTGAGCGCCGCGCGGTGCACCACCACCTCCGCACTCGCATACACCGCCTCGCCCCCGCCTCCTCTCCCCGCTCCCGCTCCCGCCCCTTCCGCCCCATCCTCCACCCCCCCCCGCTCACTCATTCCCCCTCCCCGGCCCCTCCCTGCGCCCTGCCCGCCATAGGCCCCCACGTCTGAGAGCGCCCCCTCCTGCGGCACAAGGGCCAGCTCCTCCTCCATGTCCACGTGCAGCGCGGAGAGGGGCGACAGGCCCACGGGCAGTGCGGCGCTGAGGTCGGTGGTTCCCGCAAGCTCAGTGTCGAGGGAGAAGGTGGGCACAGCCTGAGACTCCTCCAAGAGAGAGAAGATCTGGGGGGAGGGGGGGAGGAGCGCAGTTAATGGAGAAAGCGCCCCTTGCTGCAGCCCGAGGGCGAGGTCCTCCTCCATGTCCACGTGCAGCGCGGAGACGGGCGACAGGCCCACGGGCAGTGCGGTGCTGAGGTCGGCAGAGGCAGTGGAGAGGTCATCTAGGGAGGAGGTGGGCGCGGCCTGAGACTCATTGAGAAGAAAGAAGATCTGCGGGCAGGGAGGAGTCGGGGTTAGAGGGATGCTGAGGGGAATCGGGGTGATTGGGGTGATTGGGGTGATTGGGGTGATTGGGGTGATCGGGTTGGGGTGATCGGGGTGATCGGGGTGATTGGGGTGATTGGGATGATTGGGGTGATTGGGGTGATCGGGGTGATTGGGGTGATCGGGGTGATCGGGGTGATTGGGGTGATTGGGGTGATCGGGGTGATTGGGGTGATCGGGGTGATCGGGGTGATCGGGTGATTGGGGTGATGGGGTGATCGGGGTGGGGTGATTGGGGTGATCGGGTGATTGGGGTGATTGGGGTGATCAGGGTGATTGGGGTGATTGGGGTGATTGGGGTGATCGGGGTGATCGGGGTGATCGGGGTGATTGGGGTGATCGGGGTGATTGGGGTGATTGGGGTGATCAGGGTGATTGGGGTGATTGGGGTGATTGGGGTGATCGGGGTGATCGGGGTGATCGGGGTGATTGGGGTGATCGGGGTGATCGGGGTGATTGGGGTGATTGGGGTGATCGGGGTGATTGGGGTGATTGGGGTGATTGGGGTGATGGCCCTCGCTCACCTTCTCCACGGTGTGTGGCGAGAAGGGTCGGCGGTTCTGGTGCAGGGTGATGAGCGCGGAGTAGCAGAACTTGTTCAGCGCCACCCCTTCTGCTGCCATCCGCTCCATCACCTGCTGCCTGCCCTGCCGCCATGCCGGCATGTGGGCACGTGGGCACGTGGGCACGTGGGCACGTGGGAGACGCAGGAAGAAAGAGGCACACAGGCACGGGGACAAGGGAATGGGCAAGCTACGTTCACCCAGAACGCACGCTTGACGGTATCCAGGGAGGACGTGCAGAGGAGAAGGGAAAGGGGGGAAGCAGCAGGCGAGGTGTTGAGACTTGCTCATATGCACGAGAGGGAGGGTGTTGGTGGTGCCTTGTAACTCCACAGGAGTAGGGATTTGAAGGCTTTACGCTTCAATGTGGCGCCCGCTGGCGCTGCACGCGCTCAGCAGCGCCTGGAAGGTGCGGATGTTGCCCGCGAAGCCCGCCGCCTGCATCTCCTCCGCCACCCTGAACGCGCGGTCCGTGTGCCCGCTGCGACTGCAGGCTGACATCACACAGTTGAACATGTAGCGCTGGGGGGAGGCGGGGGGACGAGAAAAGGGGGGGGAGGGGGATGCCAGTACTATGAGCCGCCTTGAATGCGCAGTCCCGCGTGGCTGTTGCGACAGCACGCCGACACGACGACGCAGATGTACATGTAGCGCTGGGAGGAAAGAAAGGAGGGGGGGGGAGGGGGGGAGAGGAAGTAGGGAAGAATAAAGGGGGAGAGGGATGCTGGCATGGTTCACATTGGATTGGATGTGTGCCTGCTGTGAATGCACGCTGGCATGGCACAGCTGAGCATGACACAGCTGAGCATGACACAGCTGAGCATGACACAGCTGAGCATGACACAGCTGAGCATGGCACAGCTGAGCATGACACAGCTGAGCATGACACGTGACACAGCTGAGCATGACACAGCTGAGCATGACACAGCTGAGCATGACACAGCTGAGCATGACACAGCTGAGCATGACACAGCTGAGCATGACACAGCTGAGCATGACACAGCTGAGCATGACACAGCTGAGCATGACACAGCTGAGCATGACACAGCTGAGCATGACACAGCTGAGCATGACACAGCTGAGCATGACACAGCTGAGCATGACACAGCTGAGCATGACACAGCTGATGACACAGCTGAGCATGCACAGCTGAGCATGACACAGCTGAGCATGACACAGCTGAGCATGACACAGCTGAGCATGACACAGCTGAGCATGGCACAGCTGAGCATGACACAGCTGAGCATGACACAGCTGAGCATGACACAGCTGAGCATGACACAGCTGAGCATGGCACAGCTGAGCATGACACAGCTGAGCATGACACAGCTGAGCATGGCACAGCTGAGCATGACACAGCTGAGCATGACACAGCTGAGCATGACACAGCTGAGCATGGCACAGCTGAGCATGACACAGCTGAGCATGACACAGCTGAGCATGACACAGCTGAGCATGACACAGCTGAGCATGACACAGCTGAGCATGACACAGCTGAGCATGGGCGGGAACGACAGCATAGAGATGGCATGCCAATGAGAATGAGAAGGTGCGGGAAAGAAGAACTCGACGGCAAGAACCGGCAGCAGTCATCCAATGCCAGAAACCTTCATCTCACACGCAATGCCATTACCCATCCTTCCCATCCCATCTCACATGCTCGTCCACCTCACTCACACCAGGTGCACGTCCCCACCCCTCTCACCTCACCAGCTGGAATGCCATAAACTCTGATATCTCCCATCAGATGCATTGCCCCATCCCTCCCATCTCACATCGGGTGTGATCCCGCGGGCCTTCATCTGGTTGAAGAAGAAGATGACGTCATGCAGGCGCCCTGCGCGCATGCACGCCGTGATGGCGGCGTGGAAGGTGAAGAAGTTGGGCGCCACGCCGTCCATTAGCATGTCGCTGTACAGCCCGCGCATCAGGAATGGTCTGCGGGGGACAGGGAGGGTGATACTTGAGACACGAGAGCATGCAACGTGGCAGGGACGCCGTCCATGAGCATGTCCGAGAAGAGCGCGCGCATGAGGTATGGCCTGCAGTGATGGGGCAGCGACACGAGGTGTATGGATCAGATGAAAGGTCAAGGTGAAGAAGGTGGGAGCCACGCCGTGCGTGAGCATGTCCGAGTACAGCGCGCGCAAGAGGTACGGCCTAGGGGGACGAGGGAGGGCGAGACACGAGAATGCGAGTTGGGAGCAACGCCGTTGATGAGGGGAGCGCGCGCAGCAGGTACGGCTTGGGAGATGGGGGAGGATGTGTCATTGGAAGCACGGATCTCTCACGTCTCACGGGTCCATGTGAGGAAACAGGGAGCCACGCCGCCCATGCACGTGTCCGCGTGCAGCCCGCGCACGAGGCGCGGCCTGAGAGAGCTGTGCAACGTGCCTCGGGCCGAGGCGTTGCTGGCATGTGCTAGCATGGGACGAGCATCAGCGAGCCATGGATGATCCTGGCCGTTGAAGTCCGCTCCAAAGGCCACGTGGCGGCGATCGGTTCCATCTCTATCAATACCGTCGCTCGTGAGTGGATTCTATCCGCACAGGATCGCAAGATCCCATGTGCTAAACATCCCGTCCGCCAGCAAACTTACTTTCTGCAGCGCGACAGCTCGAGCGCGACGGCGTTGTACTCGTTCAAGTTCCGCGCGTACGCCGTCTCGCCCGCCGCTGAATGCTGCCCCCTCATCCTACCGCCGCTAGATTCACTCCGATCGGGTCCCTCACTAACGCCGGCGGGTGTTCTTGCGGCGAGGGAATAGGGTCGGTTGAAGGTATGGCTATTGAAAAGTGGCGATATGCTTTCGCTATATTCACAAACAGCTGCATGCGATCGGACCCTGGTGGGAAGGATCGGGAGCGATGTGAGGAGCGTCCGATCAGGATCGGCGCTTCGAGATCCAACGGATCTGACGAACGCATCGTACGGCTGGCCGCGACAAGCGCCGTCAACGACATCGCTAACCCGGAATGCGCGATGGACTAAGCGCCTTCGCGCTGCGATAGTCGCGGCCACGTGGCGCTGCGCCATTGGCGAAGCAGCACGAAGCTATCAGAAGTACGCGCCTGAGAACGTCTCCTGGCTTGCTACGGACTGCTTACAAGGGGAGTCCCTAAATCGTCAACGTGACAACAATGTACCCGATACTGGATGAGCCGATAAGTAACGTTTTCTTACAGCCTTCCCACGTCTATGAAAATCACCTGCATGTAAACATCACTCAAGACAGCATTTTTTCATACAATATCCCCCATAACCATAACAGCGCCAGGCACAGTACATGGGCTGTAGCATTTAAAACGAATTCCAGTGCAATAGCGGCCTGGTCACGTTTTTTGGGCAAGCGAGGAGCTATCCATGTGCCCCACTTCTAGCAACTCCTCTTGCATACCCTCCCTCACCTCAACCTTCTCTACTTGCTCCACCCCTTCACCCCCCTCCACGTCCCCAGCTTTACCATGCATCACCCCATTCGTCATCTCTATCGACCCCCCCTCCCTCTCCGCCTCTCTCCCTTCCTCTCCCCCCGCTCTCTTTCCCCCTCACTCCTTCCCTCTCCACCCTCCTCTCCCCCATCGTCCATGCCACGAGCATAGTCGTGAGGTGGAGAGCCCAAATAAGCATCCAGCTCAGCACTCGACTCCTCATTGGCCGATATGTAGGTTACTTCTGTAACCGGCCGCCGCGCCAGCAGAGCGAGGGAGACGACGTAGATGAGGAGAATGAGGGCTATGGCAATCCCAAGGGGGATTTGGATGGATTGGGGGAGGTTGTCCGAGACCAGGTTACTCCACACAGGCTTGCACCACCAGCACACAATTAACTGCGATAACTACAGTGCCGATTATGTACGCCGCTACAGTGACCTGGAAGGATGGAGCGGAAGGGAGGAAACAGTGGGAATGGAAGGGATACACATGGGGGAGATGAAAACGGCTATGGTGAGTGCACAGACGGAGGAGGTGCCACTGTGCCAATGCGTGCCATTAGTGCTTGGGGCTTGGTAAGGCCCGTGCGCTGGGTGCGCTACATTCCATCTGTGTCACTGGTGATGGTGATGGGGATGGTGATGGTGATGGTGGTGGGGATGGTGATGGTGATGGTGGTGGGGATGGTGATGGTGGTGTGGTGTGGTGTGCTCACAGTGGCGTGGTTGGTGAAGGGCCCCATTTTGACGGGGCTGCTGGTGAACTTAAGGAGCGGGATGAGTGGCGTAGGGCAGCCCGAACGACAGGATGATCTGACAGGCGTGCACAGATTGGGGGGAAAGATGCACACAAGAGGATGAGAGGTCAGCATGAGAGGGTGAGAGAGAAGCACAAGGCCAGCGCCCTCTCCAGCCTCAACTGGAAAATCACACAATATACGTCCTCCCCCCCACCCCCCACCCCTCCCCTCCCCAACCCACCGAGGATGCAATGATGAGGTTCCCCGCGCCCTGGGCCCCCGCCACGATGGCCACAGCCAGCGACGGCACGATGGCGACGAGGCGGGTGAGAAGGTTCCTGAGCCAGGACGCGAGGTGCAGGTCGAGGAAGCCCTGCATCACGTACTGCCCCGCATACGTGCCCGTGATCGTCGAGCTCTGCCCGGACGCCAGCAGCGCGATGCCGAACAGCGTGGACGCCCACGAGCCGAGCACGTCGCGCAGCAGGAAGTAGGCGTTGCTGAGGCTGATGTCGCTGCAGCTCGCCTGCACGTCCGGGGAGAGGTCCGGAGAGGAGCAGACGGCGCCGCCCACGCAGATGACTGCCACATTGATGGCGAAGCTGATGATGAGCGCCGCTGCCACCTCCAGGAGAGAGTAGAAGCAGCCGTCCTGAAGAGCGGAAGGGAGAGGGGGATTGGGGTGGGACAGTGCGGGGAAGGAGTTTTGAGTCGACTCAAGGCTGGTACATACACATGTCATTCACCTCAGCAACACCCATGTTCCCAGAACCCACCATAACCCAGCACCCAGAGCAGCGCACCTTGATGCCAGCACTTGTGCGCTGGTGCTTGCGACTGAGCACAAGGGCGGAGTGCAGAAACAGGTTTGTGGCTGCGAGAGGGGGAGGAGACGGTCAACAGGGGAGGAGGAATAGCGAGACCAGATGAGCTTTTTGAGTCGACTAAAAAATCACCGAGGAATAGCGGGACCAGATGAGCATCGGAATGACCACTCTTCAAAGAGGTGAAGCATGGACGAAGTGATGAAGAGAAAGGGAGGCATACAGAAGCAGCGGACACACACCACACGCAACCTGCGTGTGTGCAGGTGCAGCTTACGGCATGACTAGTGCGCCGATGAGCGAGATGGCGATGGCGAGCGCGCCCAGGTCCTGAATGGTGGGCACGAACATGCCCTCCAGCACGGCCACGCCGTCCACTGGCGCGCGCCCCATCTCTATGAAGAAGCAGCACGCTATCACCATCACCAGCAGCGCTATGAACACCTCCAGGTTGCGCACCTGGGGGGGGGGAGGGGGTTGGAGAGGAGGGAATTAAGTCGACCCAAAACGAAAATACTATCACACGCTATCACCACCAGCAGCAGTGCTATCAACTCCTCCAGGTTGCGTACCTGGGGGGCGGAAGGGAGAGGGTGGGGAGGAGGGTTGGACGGAAGGAGGCTTGATGAGCCAACTCCTAGGTTCATGCTGTCACCGGCACCAGCAGCGCTATCAACACCTCCAGGTTGCGCACCTTGGGGGGGAAAAGAGAGGGGATATAGGGAGGAGGGCTGTTGCCAACTCGAGGGGTGACCAGAACCAGCAACGCTATGATCAGCTCCAGATTGGGGACCTGGAGGACGCAGGAGGTGAGGAAGTGAGAGGCGACAAAACAAAAACGAGAGAGGAGCACGAGGAGTACAGGCACAGATCTGCTCTGCACGGCTCCCCTGATGCAGCAACGAGCTTGCGAGACAGCGTCACAGCGGGGAGAGGAGAACATGCAATCAGGCTTTGCAAGTTTGCAGGAGGTGCGGTGAAAGTAGAGAGCCCACCCCGAAGCGCTGGAGGCCGAGGAAGAGCAGTGTGCTGAGGCCGGTGATGAGGACGCCCGCCCACAGGCGAATGCCAAACAGCATGTTCAGTGCGAACGCCGTGCCTATCACTGCCACACACACGCAGTACAGTGCAGCACAGAACCAGATATGCATGTGAGGAAGGAGCACCATCAACCCTGGCGCGTGGCGCCGCAGCAGTGTTAACAAGACCAAGTGAACGCAGGAGGCGAGAGAAGGGGAGATGAGGGATAGGAGAGGAAGGGGTTGAGGGATAGGAGAGATGGAAGAAGGAGAAATGAGACCGCAACAGCGCACTGAGCAGTCGGCTGAAACTCACCCTCTGGGATGTCGCTGGCGATGATCTCTATCTCAGCTATCACCCACAGCGCCAGGTTGACAGCCCGGGGATACTCCGCCTTGCAGTGCTGCGCCAGGTGCTTGCCTGCCAGGACACATCACGATTCACAGTGCAGCCATGCACACGATGTGGAGCTATGTGTGATGATGTGTCATGCACTTGAGGTGAAGCTATGTCGGCTGAACAGCATGGCGTGACTTGGCATGGCATGGCATGGCATGGCATGGCATGGCATGGCATGGCATGCAGGCATGAAATGGAAGGCAGCACTGGGCTCGAGCAAGGACAGTGCTACACGAGGTGGTGGAATCACGCTGCTGCTCCTTGTCTCGCCTGCTGGTGCCCACTCACCTGTGACTATACCGAGGTTGGCTGACAGTGATTGTATGAGGAGGCCAGCTAGCGACGCCAGCAGAAGAACCCACAGAAGCTGAAGGGAAAATGGGTAGAGGAAAAAAAAAGCTTCTAAGGGAGCTTCATGTTGAGGAAACTTTGTGCACATGCACTTCCTTCCCAGGGTTAGCATGGGACCCATGGTTGGCGCAGTGACGGATAGTGCTGAGGCTGTCACCGGGGAGTGCATCCGTAACTCACCGAGTATTGGTAGGCTGCTCCTGCCTTGAGGTCGCTTTCAACTGCACAGGGGAAGCGGGACGCGAAGACAAACGGGAGAAACGGGAGGGTGTAGAGAGAACTCATAAGGGATAGGAAGTGATGCCACTGACGAGAGAGATTACGTGACGGCAGCGCCTAGAGAAACCCCGGCGCCTGACATCGAATCAGGGAAACTGAAGTCGTACCCCGATCAGTCGAAGCGACTCACAATTGGCGGGGTCGATGTAAGCGATGGCGACGAGGAACCCCGGCCCTACGTACGCCCAGAATTTACTCCACCCTCGCTCCTGCGATCACGTACGCACAAACACGCACGGGTCAGTTGATCCGGTTCCTTGCCGAGACACCTCAATCCACGCATTCACTAACGGTCAAATCTCAACGGTCGAAACGGAACTACGGCACAACAATCTCAATTATGAACGGAAAGCCTAGGTGCCTATGAACAAATCGTATGCTCCGCTGCACGTTCCAGCCGAATCAGACGCTAGCAGGGGTTACCTCTGGAACGTGCACTTGACCCTCGGCCTGGTCCTTGCTGTCCGCGCCATCTGTCCCCATGCTGTTTATCAGAGCGGTTCGCTCCGTCATGCCAAGACCACTAAGTCTAAATGCCTCGTCGTTTCGGCCGAATGTCAAAGCCTAATAAATAACCAGCATTCCGTGTAGGCAAGCTGATTATCAGACCCGTTAGCTTGTATCCTACTCCGCGAACCTGGGCCTTCGTTCTGGCAAGCCGTGGCCCGGAACGGGTCGGGTATGAAGAGGGCTACGGGCACAAGGCATCAAGAAAAGAACGGCTCAACTGAGATGGCCAGCCATCGGCGCATTTCCGCTTTGCATTCAGAGTGATTCCTCCCAACCACCCGCATTTCTCTCCAGCCTCACAAAGCAATGCGAACAGCAGCGCTTGTGGTGGAAGCGGTCAAAGCCTTCCCCCAAAGGGAGGCTGTTTGACACCTCGGTGCAGGCAACCAACTGTACTATTCTCTTTATGCCATTTATCAAGTACACTACAAGAATTTCAAAAAGGTTTGTGAATTTTCACAAAGGTGAATTCCTACTACAGATATCTACCACTTAACCTAACGGTACACCACGTGTTCTACATCCACAATAAATGAAGATACATGGACGATGGGAGCGTTGGAGTCATGATGCCATAATAAGTGGTTGCCTTTGAGTGTGTGTGAGCCTCATCCAACCAGAAATGCCAAGGAGCTTGTAAGCGGATTGGACTTCAAGCAGCTATGGAACGACTCTGCTGCAAGCTGTTTCGCACAGCTGAACAGCGGCTGGTGAGGTCGCCTTGCTGCAGCACTGACTGCACTGTTGCTTGCTGTTGCTTGAGCCCTTGGGTGCACACACTGGAAAAGAGAGCCAAACAGAGACAGGAAATCAGATGCATGTTGCACATCTTCGCATATGATAGGGCTCATGAAGCTGAATCTCCAAGCAATGACGAGACTTACTGACACATCCGGGCACGGGCTTGCAGTTAACAAACTGTCCTTTAATGCAGGAGCAGCGCTGGCAGAGATCTCCAGTCTTGACCATGTCGTGAGCCCCGTTCTTCACATAAATCGGACCCCATCCTGGTCCAGCACTGACGCACTCATTTGGACCCTCTGACAGAAATGGAGAAAAACAACCGTTAAGAGGCAGGGAGGGGTGAGAACTGCGATGTGAAGGTTGGGGATTGACCTGCTGAAAAGAATTTGATGAGACCACAAAATACAGATATAATCTGCGTAGAAGGCCACACTGACACGAACGTTTTCGTGTGGATGCAGAAGCATGGCACTTTTCAGCATCGAGTGGTTGACGGAAGTGACTTATATGAGGGGAAGGAACTGACGAGCAGTGTTGATGCAGTTGCCAATGTACGTGTCGTTGACAAACCGTGATAATTCACACCTGGCGGTGAAGTGCAGAAACGGGGAGGTCAGATGTGCACAGAAACAGAAAAACAGTGAGTCATACGTGATGCATTTAAAAGGGCATTTAAATACTTCAAGCTCCCAAAGTCCCACCCCCTCTCTGCATATCTTATATACTCAACTGGTTCTGCTTGATGCCTCTGCATCGCATGCCGTCCTTCCACCGCCCCAGGGCGTCCTGCTTGCACTGTTTGCCCAGAGGACAAACGCATGTGGGGCCGTCCTTGAGCTTCTGGCACGTGCAGTGCGGACATATGGTGGAAGCCGTGATGCCGCTCGTGCCAGGTGCGAACATCACGGAGCGAAACATGCAGTATTGCTTCGTAATCTGGTCCACTGGAGGAGAAAGTCAGAAAAGAAAGTGTACAAGAAATATCTGATTGAATAATGCTCAGTGAGCTTTGTTCTCCAGCGATTTTTGTGCATTAACGTGGTTCAAATGGTCCCGTGGACAATGATTTGGCCATGTAAGTGTTGATCAAGTGGCTTACGAGGCACATCGGAGGCGCATTTGCCTTTGAACATAAAATGCGGAGAGTTGCTGATCACCTTGGTCACCAAACACCTGAAAGAAGCAAATGAAATCGATCAAACTCAGGATGCACGGAAGAGGATAACCGAATGAGCTTCAGAAGAAGAATTTCTTGGTCAATACTTTCACAGACGTCAGGACGTAAAAAACCTTGACAGTGGGACCAGCGTACCCGAAGTCTCGCTTGCAGAAGGGCTTGATGGGGGTGTAGCTCTTGTCGTAGTAGCACGTGGCTCCGTCAGGTAGGCCTGACGATGTGCTGGCGGCGACGGTTAACAATGACCCTGCATGTAAGAGACGCAGGTAAGACGGTATCAGAAAAACATTATGCAGACGAAATGGCATTCAAAATTTCTAAGGAAGGCGGGATCTTGCCTGAAGCTGACGCGACGAGTAGGAGTATCTGAACAGACGCGAGCGTCGTCATGCTGGTGCCTTGAACGCGTACTAGTACTGCTTGCTGTGGCTGGTCTGAGAAACGTCACAAGGTAACTGATCTAGTTTGCTTTGATGAAAAGAGTCAGGGCTCAGGCATTCTTTTAGTAGCTTCCTGATCAGAGAGCCTGGTCGGAAAGCCTGATCAGTGATCAGTGATCACATCCGAGCATCACATCAGGCAGGGATGCATATTCCAGCGCGCCATCAAGGGGGCGGCAGAGGGAGTTCCGTTGGCCCAAATGTGCGAAGCATCTCCAAATCGCGAACGCGCCGCAAAGAAACACTTGTAGTGTGGGAAATGTATTCGGGCAAAGCTACGTACGATTACTCTGATTTCGAATTTAAAACAAATGTGATTGATGTACCATAAGTAGCTCTCAAGTTTTGTGTTTTGGTGCAACCCTTTGAGGGACTTCTAACAAGGTGGTGAGAGGAAACAAGAGAGCTGGGGCAGATGAAGGGGGCAATAGGAAGTGATTGGTATGCATGGTGCGCACAGAGTCGTGCCAAATGTCAAACATGTGTAGTCGTTATGTTTGTATAGACTGTATAGGGTCACCTCTTAGAGGGTACAATTCTTAGGTATATCTTTCTGTACTCTCTCACTAGTCATCATTCACTACTCTCATTCTGATATGGTATCACGCGTAGGTTAGGATCCTCCACCTACCGCTTCCGCTCGTCCCTTAGCCCCGTCGCGCCCCCCCCCCCCCCCCCCCCCTGGCCCCCGTCGTGCCCCTAGCCCGGCCGCGCCCCTCCTGGGCCCCGTCGCGACCCCCTAGCCCCGTCGCGACCCCCTAGCCCCGTAGCGACCCGCTGGGCCCCGTCGCGACCCCCTAGCCCCGTCGCGACCCCCCCTGGGCCCCGTCGTGCCCCTAGCCCTGCCGCGCCCGTCCTGGGCCCCGTCGCGACCCCCTAGCCCCGTCGCGCCCCTCCTAGGCCCCGTCACGCCTGCAGGCCCAATCGCCCCCTGCCCGGCCCCGTCGCGCCCGCCCGGCCCCGTCGCACCTGCTCGGCCCCGTTGCGCCCTGCCCGGCCCCGTCGCGCTCGCCCGGCCCCGTCGCACCTGCCCGGCCCCGTCGCGCCCGCCCGGCCCCGTCGCGCCCGCCCGGCCCCGTCGCACCCGCCCGACCCCGTCGCGCCCCCTCGGCCCCGTCGCGCCCGCCCGGCCCCGTCGCACATGCCCGGCCCCGTCGCGCCCGCCCGGCCCCGTCGCACTCGCCCGGCCCCGTCGCGCCCGCTCGGCCCCGTCGCGCCCGCCCGGCCCCGTCGCACCCGCCCGGCCCCGTCGCACCTGCCCGGCCCCGTCGCGCCCGCCCGGCCCCGTTGCGCCCGCCCAGCCCCGTCGCACTCGCCCGGCCCCGTCGCGCCCTGCCCGGCCCCGTCGCGCCCGCTCGGCCCCGTCGCACCCGCCCGGCCCCGTCGCGCCCTGCCGGGCCCCGTTGCGCCCGCCCAGCCCCGTCGCACCCGCCCGGCTCCGTTGCGCCCTGCCCGGCCCCGTCGCGCTCGCTCGGCCCCGTAGCGCTCTCCGGGCCCTGTCGCGCCCTGCCCCGGCCCCGGCATCCTCACTGATACGGTTTCCCCCTCCTTGCACCGCCCTGCACCGCACTGCACTGCCTTGCATCGCCCTGCACTGCATTGCACCGCCCTGCACCGCACTGCACTGCCCTGTTCAGCACTGCACCGCACTGCACCGCACTGTACAGTCCTGCACTGCCCCTGATGGCGGCGGAGCTTCGCTTCGACGCTGAAGGCCAGCCTCTGGAGTTCGAGGCGTGGCTTGCCGACCTCCGGCGCCAACTCACTGGCCAACGGCAGGATGGTGAACCGCTTTCCGCACACCTTGACGGTACGCTCCCCTGCCCAGACCCCCCTGCTGTTGTGCCCGCTGACTCCGCACCCACTGAGCGCGAGTCTACTGCTGCCACTGCCCGTGCGCGCTCTGTCTGGCTTTCTCGAGATGCTGTCGCTCAGCTTGCCATTAGCAACGCCCTTCCCCCGTCCGAGCGCCCTCGCTTTAGGTCCCTCACTACTGCTCACGCATACTTAGATGCTGTCATCAAGCGCTATTCCACCCCTCCGGCTGCCTCGGTGGGTCGCCTGATCCTCCCGATGCTCTTTCCTTACCTTGCGTCTTTCCCCACTGTCTCTAACCTCGCTGCCCACCTGCGCTCGATAGATGAGACCGGGCGCGCTGCCTGCACTGACGCACAGCTTAGAGCCCACCAGCCGCCCATTACCTCTACCCTTTACCTGCTTGCCACCCGCCTCCCTGACCGCCTTGCTGTCGCCCGCGACCGCTTCCTTAGCATTCACCCCGCAGACCTCACCCTCACTGACTTTGTAGACACCCTGACTGTGATTGAGACCCGCCACCGCTCCATCGCCCAGGCGAGCGGTACCGTGCCGGTCCCTATCTTTCAGGGTTGTGCCCCCGCTCAGTGTACCTTCTCCTACGGCTCTGCCGCTGTGGCTGAGACTGCTGCTGCAGCGCAGTTTCGTTCGGGGAAGGGCCACCGCCCCAAGGTTGGGCGCGGCGGAGGAGGCGGGGGTGCAGGAGGAGGTGGTGGTGGAGTCGGGTCGTCTGGTGCTGGAGCGGACGAGGGGACCCTGCCCAGTCCAGCTGAGCCGCCGCCCCTGCGGTCGCAGCAGCAGCAGCAGCCGCAGCGGCCGCCGCAGTCGCAGCAGCCGCAGCCTTCGCAGCAGCCGCAGACGCGGCAGACGAGTGTACTCCCGCCCGGGTGGCCCTGGGGGTGGTCGGGCGCGTGGTGGTGTGCCAAGTGGTGGTTCTGGAGGCGTGCGTTGTCAGTACCAGATCCAGACCGGTCCTCGCCGCGGCTTCGTTTGCGGTAAGATCGGTCACTCCACTCCCCGCTGTTTTCGTCGCCTGGACGACCTGTTTCGTCAGCGCTTTGGCCCGTCGCCCGACCTCCCGGACTGGCACAGTTTGCTTAGTCGTCAGATTCAGTTTTTTTACATGGACATGGATGCCATTGTTTCTGCTCTGCATGTGATGTATGCTGATGACTCTAGTGTGCTTCCCGCCTATTACTCACTGTCGGCTAGTGTAGGTGTGCCTAGCTTAGCCTCCCCTGCTGCGTCAGGCGTAGGATCCCCTGCTTTGTTTAGTCTTGGTGCTTCCGCCGTCGTTCCGTCGCCAGACGCCACTGCTTCGCTTTCCTTCACCTTGGACTCTGGCGCTTCTCGGTGCTTCTTCCGCGACTTCACGACGCTGACGCCGCTTCCTGTTCCAGCTGCCGTTTCTCTTGCTGACCCCTCCGGCTGTCCGGTAGTCGCCCGCAGTTCCACCACCCTTCCCTGTCCGGCGGTTCCTTCGGGCTCTCTTACAGGTCTGCACATCCCCTCGTTCTCCAGGAACCTAGTTGGTGTCGGCTGCCTCCAGGACCTTGGCGTCACCACTACGTTCCCTGGTCACGAGCGGTATACTGTCTGTACCGAGGCCGCCACTGGTGCCCCCCTGTCCACGTTCCCTCGGGACCCGGTGTCCGGCCTGTTCACTCTGGACACTGTGACCCCCCCGGCCGGGGCGCCCCCTCAGGTGGTTGCGTCTACCCAGGTTGCTGCTGCCTGCTCCTGTCGCTCCCTCACTCACCCGACTCTCCTTTGGCACCACCGCCTAGGTCACCCTGCGCTCCCGCGACTGCGTCACATGTCCCAGCATGGTCTTGTCCTTGGTCTCCCAGGTTCTCTCCCCTCGTTTCCCTCCTCCCCAGCCCCACCTTGCACGCCTTGTGTCGAGGGTCGGCTTCGCCGTGCCCCTCACTCCTCCTCGTTTCCCCCTACCGCCGCGCCGCTGCAGACTCTGCACCTGGACGTCTGGGGCCCCGCCCCCGTCCCTGGGCCGCGTCGCGAGCGCTACTTCCTTGTGCTTGTCGACGACTTTACTCGTTACACCACAGTCTTTCCCCTGGAGCGCAAGGCCGACGTGCCTGGCGCTCTCATCCCCTGGCTTGTCTCTGCGCGTGTCCACCGCGGTCTCCCTGTCTTGCGTCTTCACTCAGACCGTGGTGGCGAGTTTGCCTCAGGTGTCCTTGGTCGCTTTTGTCGTGCGGAGGGCATCACCCAGACGTTCACCCTACCGGACTCCCCACAGCAGAATGGGGTCGCTGAGCGACGCATCGGTTTGGTCATGGAGGTGGCTCGCACCTCCATGATCCATGCCGGTGCACCCCATTTTCTGTGGCCGTTCGCTGTGCGCTACGCTTCTCACCAGCTTAACTTGTGGCCGCACCCTCAGCAGCCGCAGGTTTCGCCGACCCGTCTTTGGACTGGGTCTCCTGGTGACGCGTCTGCGTTCCACGTCTGGGGCTGCCTCGCTCACGTCCGTGCCTCCGGCACGGACAAGCTCACTGCCCGCACCCTTCCCTGCGTCTTCCTCGGTTTTCCCCTTGACTCGTCCGACTGGCACTTTTACCACCCGCCGTCTCACCGCTTCTTTCACTCTCGCGACGTCACCTTTGACGAGTCCGCCTCCTACTACCGTCGCTTCCCCCACCGCGGTCCCCCGGTTACCCCCCCTCTGTTCCTGGTCCCTCCTTCCTTGGTAGTCCCTGCCCCTCCTCCTCCTCCTCCCCGTCCCGCCCCCTCTGGTGTGTCCCACGTCACCCCTCGTCCGTCAGTGGACCCGGTTGAGGAGTCTTCTGACTCTGGTGGCCCTGCTGCGCAGTCCTCGCCGGCCGCCCCTCCCCCGGCGTCCCCTCCCGAGTCCCCTCCTCCACCGCCTCTGCCGCCGCTGCAGCCGTCGTTGCCGCCGCCGCCGCCGTCGCAGCACCCGTTCGCTGCCTCTGGGGGTGCTCGTCCCGATCGCCCTGGGGGTGGTCCCTCTGGGGGTGCTGGTGTGGAGTGTGCCGGTGGTAGCCGAGGAGCCGTTTGCAGTCCCGGACTCGCCGTTGTGCCGCCGCAGCAGCAGTCCCCGCCGGTGTCAGCCCTTCGCCTGCTCGGCCTTCCGTCCCCTGACCCTGCGGCTGTTCCTCTCCGACCGTCTCCTCCTCTTCCCGTCTACGGCCCTGTGTTCCCTCCGCCGGACTCGTCCCCGGCCCGTCTTCCCCCTCGTTCCCCTCCTGTGTCCCCTCCCCTGTCTCCTGACCCGACTCCTACGTCGCACGTCTGGTCT